GAAAGTCCGAGCACAGCTCCAAACAGCAAGCTGACCTGGTGCCTGCTCCTGACCTGCTGCAGCTGGCATGTGAGTTTGCAGGATGAAGTCACTATAGAGGTTGGCAGCCTCATGCAAGGCAGCGGCGGAGACTAACGGGGACCCCGCTGCCTCTTGAGAAGTAGTCACTAGGGACTACAATCCATCTCAGGTAGTCAACAGATTCTTGCATTACCTCAGGGCTCCTCTTCAGAAAAAGCTATTAGAGGGTCTACAGATTAGCTTACACGGCTACTAATCTCAGCAACAATTTATTCCTGCCACACTAGGATTCCTGCTTTGTTGCCCACTCAGCCGAACAATAAACTCAGGAGCACATGGAACAAAGAGCTTGGCTCTGTGATCAACTCTGTATTTAGCAGGTGACCACCAGAGACCCCACGGGCCTGCACTTCTTTGTCATAAAATTTCTAGAGATATCCCATATCTTAGCATTTTCTATGCTGATGAAATACAGATATTTTAAAAAAAGACGTGCTTTTGGAGACACACATAATAATCTATTTTGGCCACGCAGCTATCTGTCAGAGGATTCTGTGGATACCACGTAGAAGAACACAGGGCAGAAAAGGGTGAGCGATTTCTTGAGTGGGCTAAACTCTAAAATAGGTTTTTGGGGCAGAACAGAACACAATCCCTGCCTTCAGACTGGAAAACAAGATGTTTTATGTTATAAGGAATTGTGATGAGTGTCAGGACAGAAAAGAGATTTTAGAAGCACAAAATAGGAACAAGGGGATAAAGAAATGCTTTCATAAAACAGAGTGCTCAGGCAAAAATCTGTGAAGTGGTGATGCGGTCAGAGCATAGCCAGGGGCCACTGTGGGAATGGCGAACAGACCCTTGCCTGTTGCTTATTAAGCGTTCTCCTAGGACAGCCAGGGATTTTAAAGGTCACTTTTTCTATGACCAGTCTCTTGTACAGGTAACTAAAAGAAAGTTTAGTCTTCATTTTGTGTCCTTCTTATAAATCTTGGGTCAGATCTCCTCTTAGCTCTGCATATGGGCATGTTGGTCATTTGTGGAAGGGTCTGAAAGCTGGCAAAACAAGGTTGATTAGCCCTGAATTTGCATATTCTCACCTCAAGACTGAAAACTGGTGGCAGATTTCCAGTTATACTTAGAAGCCTGCGGCCAATGTCCCAAACCTGCAATCACCTGCACACCATCACAAACGGTAACAGTCCTGTCCTGGAAATAAAACCCTTTCTCAGCCATAAAGATTCCAGAACTATGACCACAGGACTGACATCATGAACAACCTGGCCCAGCCCAACAGCTAACCCTTAGACACTGGCCTTCTGCCTTTGTGGGGAAAACAGTCTGAACCCACATAGTGGAGTGTGCCCCTCCCCCAGTTACCTAAGTGGGAGTCCTTTATTATCTTCCCTCTTTCCTCCCAGTGAAAGTTTTCCTGTAAATGTGTGCTTTCATTTTCATTTCCATTATTACCAAAAGCAAGGGTCCATGCGAATCGGCAGAGCCCAAGGAAATGAAAAGGGTGTGTGCAAAGGTCTGGGAGGACAAAGGAACACAGTGCCTTAGAAAGATGAGAAAGGAAATTCCTTTTCATTGGGTTAGAGCATGAAGAGGAGGCAGTTAAGGGCCCCTTCTGGTGGCTGTCACCAGATGCACAGTCCCCAGGAGGCTTCTTTCCAGGTTCTTGATGTCTGGAAAAAAGAATGAAACAAAATACACAGAAAAGGCCATGAAAGCAGACATTTATTGAAGGTAGAAAAGAAGTGTGAGAGTGAACAGGCTCCCGGCACCCGGGGCACAGGGAACTTCTGCATCCCAAGTTTTCTCGGTCTTTTGCAAATAAAGTGTTGGGACAGTCACCTTGTCCAGCATTCACTTGGGCTGCGCCACAAGTGAACTTTCTTACTGGAAGCTCCCGTGGCTTCCTGCCATAGGTAAGTGAAGGTCAGGAACAGCATCCTTTGATTGGTCATGTCCATGTGCATTTAAGAGATTGAAAAGAGCATCTTCTGATTTGTCCTGTAAATAACATTAGACTCAGATGAAGGTTAAATAAGTTCTCTGTACGGTGAAGCTGGCATCATTGTAGTGAGCGTCCCTCTCCCGGGAAGTGTTCTTCGCTTTGCCCTGTCATAACAGTACCTTCTACAGCTGGGTCCCAGAGGAGGTCTTTGACTACATTTCACAGCAGTTCTTCATTTATCTGCAAGCAGACACAAAAACTAGTGCTATATGTGATAAAGTCCCAGTGTTCTGTTATGAGATACTCCTAGAGCACTAATTGGGAGCATTGTCCAAAGGCTCACAGTTGGGCTAGTGAGCCCTCTGGCTGGGTCAGTGCAGGGACAACTCTTCTGAGTTGGACTCTAAACATACATTATTATAGGTATTGTTACTAGGCTAACTTAGATTTAAATAGTGTTCCTGTTGGTACCTTTAGCCAATCCACAAATCTTAGGCAGCAATTCAATTTTTTTAAAAAGCATTAGATATACAGGTATTATGTTAGCTATCAAGTTCTCTGGTCCTAATTGGAGACAGAGCTGACCGAAGTGTGCAGATGCTAGCTCTGGAGTATCACGTTGTGATTAGAGCTTCTGAAATGTCAGACAGTCACTATGGAGCAGCTAGACATAATCACGGCAAAGAACTCCTGTAAGAGCAGCAAGTCCTAAACTGCTTGTGTGGATGTGGGTTGAAGTAAAACTCCAGGCACCCAACATGACTGTTACATGTGCACCTTCTCCATTCTTTCTGAAAATGCCTGGGCAAAAACATAGGAAAACTTCATCATTCTTATCTTCATTCTTTGCATTAAGGATCAAAAATAATTTGAAACATACTTAAAGAAATAGGATTCCTGAAGACCCATTTAAAACAAAGCGATGATGGAACATTGATGAATTATCAGTGCAAATGTAAAATCATGCAGCTGCTATAGTGTGGACTTAAGGCCATCTTACAACTTTAAATTGTAGAAAACCTGTACTATTACAAGTGTGTTTTTTTCCATGAAAATATAAATGAGGTTGCTCCAGTGGGATATAATTATTTCCCGATGAACATGGTCTGGCTTGTTACTGCTTTGTAAATTTACCTTAATACTCCAGTTTGTCTACATATGTATCCTTCCCATTCTCCCTTGAACTGATTAACATCACACTTTTCCTGATTAAAAAATGAGTGGCTCCACAAAAAAGTAAGATGGATTTACCATCTGATCCAGCATCTTCACTCCTGGGCATTTACCCCAAAGAATTTAAAGCAGGGGCTCAGCAAGATACCAGTCCACTCATGTTCACAGTAGTGTTATTCACAGTGCTTTAAAAGGAGAATCCTGACTTACGCTGCTACATGCATGAACCCTGAGGACTCCAGGATAAGTAAGCCTAATGGAAATTCTACATGGCTCACCTTACAGAGCCAGATTCAAAGGGATAAATTAGAGTGGCGGTTGTCAAGTGCTGTGGAGCATAAAGAGGAATGGGAAATTAGAGTCCAGGAAGATGAAACGCTCTGGAGAGGGATGGTGGTGATTGTTGCACAGCAATGTAAATACACTTAATGCACCGATCCTACACATAAAAATAGTTAGGCAAGCTGATCGTGGAGGTACCCACCTGCAATTCCAGGTATTCAGGAAACTGAGGCGGGAGTATCTCAAGTCTGACCCCAGCCTAAGAAAGTTAGCAAGTCTGTCTCAAAATAAAATTTTAAAGACTGGAGATACAGCTAACTGTAATGTGTCTGCCTAGCATATGTGAGAACCCAGGGCTCAACCCCAGACACTGCAAATAAAAAAATTTAATTAATTAAAAGTTTAAAAAAGATTAAGACAGCAAGTTTTATGAAATGTGTATTTTATCACAATTTAATTTTTATTTTAGAAATAATTTTAATTGTAACAATTTTAAAGATAATACATTTCCAACATAAGAAATATGGAAAAATACAAAAAATGTTAAACAATAACTTTAGAAGTACACATCAGGACTGCCAAATAGGAAATGAATTCTTAGCAAATATTTTAATTCATTTTTTAAAATCAGAAAACAGTGTGATGTTAATCAGTTCAAAGGAGATTGTAAAGAATACATATGCTGTTAAACTAGAGTGCAAAAATAAATTTACAAACCAGTGTCGAACCAGATCATATCCACTGGGAAATAATCAATTATATTCCACTGGGGAGACCTCATGTATATTTCCATGGACAAAACTCATGTGCACAGTACGAGCTCAGAGTAATAAAACAGATTAAAGCCTATGAAAGGCCTCAGAACCCTACAGAATCACACAAATTTGCAAAGCCTGTGAACCAGGACGCCCAGTAATATTTACCAGCCCTCATTTTTCCCACTTCCACTTCAAAGTCTTTTACAAATTTGAAAAACAAAATCTTTTGTAATTCTTAAACCCAGAAGTTACACACGCTGTGATTCCTTTGGGTTAAGCTTAGTCCGGAGCTTGAGCCTTTATTAAGCAAATTAAACAAACCTTAGTAAACAAGCTGAGTGCAACATTTGGGAACCCGCTCTCCCTGGGAGCCCCAGCTGGGCCCGGATCCACGCATCCCGGCACCGGTGCAAAGCAGAGAACCCTAGAGGAGTCCGACGCCGGCCGGGAGGCAGGAAGAGCTGCCTGCTTTCCGCGACGGCCGGCGGGAGACAAACGTTCCCAAGCGCGGTCTGCGGAGCACCGGGAGCTGCGCGCCGGGAGGGAGCGGTGGGGTGCGCCCCAGGCACCGCCCCTTCTGGCCGCCGGCCGCCCTGGACGGCACCGCAGCCAGGACAGGGCGGCCTCCGCCGGGTCCTGGACTGTCCTGCCGGGCCGGCCCGCGGCCCCGCGTCGCCCCGAGTCCGGCTCTGCCCGGGCTGGGCGCGCCCCACGGGCCCCGCCCACGTGGGCCGGGCTGGCCGCTGACCCCACACCTGGCCGGGTTTCGGTCAGCCCCGCCCACGAGCTGGTTTCGATTGCGGACGCGGGAGGGCGGAGCGGCCGGAGCGAGAGCGCGCGGGTGGCAGGCAAGCGGGCCGTCGGGCGCCGGAGCCAGCGGGCAGCGCCGCGTCCCCCAGCCGGGCCGCGGAGCCGGGCAGGCGGCGGGGAGCCAGCCGGGATGCGGACGCCCACGGTGATGACGCTGGGCATGGTGTTCAGCCCCTGCGGGCTGCTGCTCAACATGGTCAGCACGCTGGCCCCCGGCTGGCGGCTGGCCAGTGGCTTCCTGGACAAGCCGGTGGACACCGTCCTGTACCAGGGCCTGTGGGACATGTGCCTGGAGCAGAGCAGCCGCGAGCGCCAGTGCGGCCAGCAGGACGAGTGGGGCTACTTCACATCCGAGCCGGTGCTCGCGGCCCGTGGGCTCATGCCCACGTCGCTGGCCGTCACGGGCCTGGGGCTGCTGCTGGCCACCCTGGGCGTGCGCTGCTGGCGGGACGAGCCGCAGTTCGCGCTGGCCGGCCTCTCCGGCGCTGTGCTCTTCGTCGCGGGCCTCTTCAGCCTCATCCCGGTCTCCTGGTACACTCACTTCCTGGGCGATCGCGAGGTCCTGCCCGGCCCGGCCAGCCCGGTCACCTTGCAGGTGAGCTACTGCCTGGTGCTGGGCTACCTGGGCAGCTGCCTGCTGCTGCTGGGCGGCTTCTCGCTGGCGCTCAGCTTCGCGCCCTGGTGTGAGGAGCGGTGTCGCCGCCGCCGCAAGGCGCCCCCCGCCGGCCCGCGCCGCAGCAGCGTCAGCACGGTCCACGTGGACTGGCCGGAGCCCGCGCTGACCCCGGCCATCAAGTACTACAGCGGGGGCCAGCACCTGCCGCCGCCCGCCGAGCGCTCCGCTGCCGCCAAGCCCAGGGTCGGCTTCCCCATGCCGCGGCCACAGCCTCGGGCCTACACCAACCCAGTGGACGTGCTGGACGGGGAGCAGGACGCGGGGACCGCCTCCCAGAGCTCTTCCTCACACAGCACCCGGCCCTGCCACAGCTCCCTGCCCTGCGACTCTGACTTGTAGACACCCAGCCCGCCCCTGGTTGCTGGGGCACAAGCTCCAAGCTCAGCCCGGGGCTGAGGGTGATCAGGCTCCTCCCTGCCTTGGCCGGCCGGGAGCCAGTGTACACTACTCAGGCTGCAGCTGCCTGCTCTGAGTTGCAGGAACCCACGGAGACCTTCCTTCCCAGTGACCGGACTTCTTGGACGGTTAGTTCAGCTTGGGTTCAGTTTTCTTCTTATAGAGCTTTGTTTTCTTCTCCAGAGGGATCAGGGCCTCTTACAGGGTAACCTGTGCTCCATATTTTCTTGCTGAAGGAGATCTAGAAAGGGCAGTGTGTGCATCGTGGTGACCAAGGACAGTAACAACAACGAAACGTTGAAATCAGCCAACAGAGACTCAAAAGCGATTCAGCGCCTTGAAACTAGTGTTTTAAAATATCGATGAATCTTACATCAATATAATTATTGTATTTTTCCTGCCTTATTGCTCTGCTGTCATGTGAGCTCTCCAAAGGCCAGTGTATTTCTCTCTCAGGAGGCTTCTAAACTGAAAGCCACGCAAATGCCACCAGTTTTATTGGCGCTTACAGAGTGCAATAACTTGGAGTGCATGTGTCCACAATTCTTCCTGCCTACATAGGGTTTATCTTTCATATCACTTCCTTTGGTGTGAAAGGTGGGATCATTCAAGAGTTTCTCTTCCAATAACTAGGAGAATGAAGACATTAACGTTTTATTGTCCTATTCCTTGGATTCCTTTTATTGTCCTGGACACAGAGGACTATAGATTTACTATTTATACAAAATAGAACCTGTGATGACATTTGGTTAAAGTACCTGTGTATATCTTTTATTTATAAATAAAAATGTGAAACAGTTAGTTTCAAGGTACTCACAAAAGTGTTTTTGTCTCCAGCACAACCTTCTGGAGTTTTAGTATTCATTACTAACGATTTCCTGTCTGCCAAGGCACTGTTTGTGAAATTTAGCACTCAGATCTTTGTAAACCTTCGCATTAGATTACGAATCAGATTAAGAAAAGCAGCCAGCAGGACCCACTTACACCCCAGATTGCTTTGTTTTCACAATCAGGCTGTGTTCTCTGCAAAGCCAAGTCTATTGAAAAAAACTAGAAGCACCAGTTTTCACTTGAGGTGAGAGGAGAAATTTTTTCTTCTTGCAGGGATGCCTGAAGTCTCAGGTAGGCAGCTTTCTGCTCCGTGAGAGGGACTAGCTCGCCAAGAGGGCTGGCTTTTGCTTCAAGTGGTTGATTTAAAGGTGCCTTTAATGGAACTAAATCTCATCTTTAAAACCTGCCCTTGGGCAGTGGGAACCCTCAATGCAATAGGCACTGCTAAGACGAGGCTACAGTGGAGCTAAATATCAGCACAGGCGCTGGCAAGTTATTATATATCTGCATTCTTACCACTTGGCAGTGAAACGCCCTGGATGCTAAGACTCAGCTCTATTGTGCAGGTATGCCGCTCTGTGGTATTTTCAAATATAGATTCTGATGCTGCCGGTCCAGAGGAGTGATGACAAACCTTTCAGAGGTTTCACTGATGACAAACACCAGCTGCAGCATGGGTGCCATAGGCTCCCTACTCCTGGCCTAGAGGACCTGCAAGTGGCCCCTGGAGAGACTGCCAGTGCCTCTGCCAATGCCCAGGGCTTGTGGACCACGTTTAGAGTTGCATGACTTTCACTGAGACTCTGCCTCGCTTCACCTGCATCCCAACTGGTGGCTCTAATGACCTTCCCTTGCTGGCCACTTCCTCTAGAGTTTGGTTGTTACTGTGGGGAACAGTCAGAATGAATGGTGGGTAGCTCTGATCTTTTCAGCCAATGTTTCCAAAGGCAGCGATTAGGGGCCTTAGCAATCAGGACTTAGTCAACAATGTAGAGATACCGGGATTCTGGCAAGAACTGTATCTGTCCAGCATCGTAGTTCCAAATATTTCCAGAAAAATTTTGATAAAAACAAAGCTGTTTTGTATGTTTTACTTTCTTCCCTCCCCAGCTGCTCTCCATGGCTTATCTAAAAACACTTGCATGATTAAGAACATTTTTTCATTTGCTCAGTGAAATGTAAAAATCTATTTTACCCTATCCATAAAAATAAAATTCCTTTAAGAAATACAGATGGTTTTTTGTTTGAAAAATGTTTGGTGCAGCATGGAAGGAGACTCCTGCATCAGGCGGGGGGATCTATTTTGGATCTGAGGGTCATTCTCTGCCACAGAAGCAAACAGTGGCAGGAGGCTTGAGACACAAGATCCTAGAGAAGATGGAGTCCCAGGAGTCCTGCTGTGGGTGGGAATTAATCCTAAATATGGCACTGGATGGCCAAGCTCCGGTCCCTGTAGAGAGCCTGATGTCCGGTCTCAAGTCCTTCCCACTCATGACGGCCATCACAGCTCACTTCTACCAAATGGGTCATATGCATTCTCCCAGAACGCATCAGATCTCTACCAGAGCACTTGGAGGACAGGGACCTGAGAAGGTGGGGCTGAAAATGCTTGAACATCTGCACTGCCGATGGGCCGGTTTCCTTTCCTCCAGACACACACGGTCTGTAAGGAGGAATGAGCTGTTGGTCTACTGCCCAGATTGGGAGGTGCTGTCAGGCTGCGTTAGCAACTGCCCTACTCTTTATTGCTTAGATGATTCTCCAAGTAAAGGTTTGGGCACCTGACATTTCCCTTGCACGTCCGGAAAGTGAGACTGTTTTACTCACTGCCTGTAGTACTCTAGCTTGAGAGACTGTATACAAACAAAAGGAAGGAGAGTAAACCATCAGCAAGGGACGCGGGGACATGAGCTGAGACTATACTCAGGGACAGGGGCACAGCAGGCAGAGGGGCAGCATTCTCCAAGTTCCCACACACACTGCTTCTGCTTCATTCTAGAACACAGTGGAAAGGACAAGAAGAAGCACGTGGTACATTTGTATAGGGCTGAGTAAATCTCCTCATCTACCCTTTATTAGGGTAATAGCTTCTTTGAAAGGGAATCTCGTCAAATATAAGCAATTCTATGTGTGAATAACTGCTCAAGAATATTCTCTGCCAGGGTGCAGATAGCTCTCTGATGCCACAGGCAGAGAAGACACTAGAACCTCAGCGACTCATCACAGTCTCGGGAGTACTGGAAAATTTTCTAATCAGAGCCTCTCCCTGCAAGCCATCTGATATCTCTAGTCTGAACTCCCTGAAATAAAATTCTGCCACTTACCTTTAAAGGGAAGATGACACCTCAAGAGCTTTCTCCATGTGTCATCCACCCAGCATAGTTTCAGTTACTTTCACAATCTGATCAAGGTCTACGTTTTTATCCTGGTCACTGTCCTGCACACATGCACAATCTAACATATCCCCCACCCACGCTAGCTTCGAGGTGCCACATTTGAACACATCACATGTGGCTTAATTTTTGCTGTACTTTTTTGTTCTACCTCTAAATTGGAATCAGAAGTATATTTCCTATTTATTTTTAACAGTGGAATGCACACCACCACTTTTTCAGCCTATTACTAATTTAATAAAGTTACTTTTGTTTTTGGCAATGAACTCAGGCCCTCACACATACCAGGCAAGACCTCTACCACTGAGCTACATTCCAAGCTGAAAGAGTTACTTCTAAAAGAGTTTTCTGTAACAAGTGCTTCTTCTCTTATATACAAATAAAACGACATTCCACTGAAGACCACTGGCCCCGAAGGGTCACTATAGATGAGCTCTTTATCCTTGTGGGAGAAGGAAAGAAAATCAGTGACTCAGCTATTCATATAAAACTTTCTTTGAAATTGTTACCCAATCTTCCCAAAAACCTCCACCCAATCTTCTGTCTCCTCTCCACATGCAGTAAAATAGCTCCTCTAGTCATCTACCATTAAGCAGGACTGAAAAACATGAAAACAAGGCTTACCTTCTTCAAATTCAGGAAAACATAGGCAAAGTTTAGAGGGGTGACCATGCTGACTACGGGCCTTGGCCTTCAGTGGGGTGTGTGGAGAGAATGGCTCAGACTTCATGTGGGCAACACTCCCTAATTCTTGTTCAGCTGGCCTGCACAGGGTACCCAGCTGGCAAGGAGTGGAGCCAGAAGCCCTGTGTGTAAATCCACATGGGACCCTTAGGTGCAAGACCGCCTGAGAGAGTAGGTGCCAACAACTGCTTTTGTCACCAGTGTGGCAAATGCCCCTGCCAGCTCCTTTCCTGCCTCATTAGCATCATTCATGCCAGTGGCTCCCAGAGAGCCTCCCCTCACCTCGAAGCTGAGGGAGGCTGAGGAGGTCACGACTGCTCTGTGACTCCTGCCTCAAGTGTCCACCTTGCTCCTGCTGGACCTGCTTCTGGAAAGAATCACCTAGATGTTACCAAAGGGCTTCATCTCCTGAGGGTGACAGATACGATTTAGATGAACCTGAGGAAGGAGGAATGACCTCTGGGTAGAGAAGGCTGCGGAAGCTGGTAACCTGCAATGCAACTTGGTCTGAGGGCCACAGACTCCATATTCTATTTCTCCCTGTGTCTGAATCCATCAGCCCCCAAGGTTAAAACAGTAGACTTTAGTGCATCACTCTCACCATCCATGACCTCTCCCCATTTATCTCCCATTTGGAACAGATACAATGCTCTTGATTTAACTCTTAACTGCAAGCAACTGACACAAAAGGTCATTTTGTGTAAGGCTGTTTCATCTAATGCACGAACCAATGAGCATTTCTAAAGATCTTTATTCTTTCAAAAGACAAACTAAACCTATTACTATGTTAACTAAACCTATTACCTATTACTATTACTTCCTAGAAAGAAATTCAGATTTTACGTCAGCCACAGGCTTACTGCTCTATTTTGTGTAAGGCAATTAAGATAACAACATGAAATGTAGACATTATCACAACAGACAAGCCATTTCTACAAAGAGCAGGTTGTGAAGCTGACGTATTAAAGCCAATTTAGGGAAAAGACAGGATTAAAAACAGTTAAATAGGGGCTGGGGGTTTAGCTCAGCGGCATAAGTGCCTGCCTTGCAAGCATGTGATCATGAGTTTGATCCCTGGTACCAAAAAAAAAAAAAAAAAAAACAGTTAAATATCAGATCTTGAGTATCTATTTAAAAGATTAAGTTCTCATGAAAAGGCTTTCAGTATGTTTTGTAAACTCGTTAATGGAGAAAGCATAATAGGGTAGATAAAACTAGATGTGGGTATAATAAACACTTAGGATTACAGTTATGGGAGACCAGAGATAGAAAGAGGTATAAACAACTAGGGGTGGGAAGGGAAAGTACAATGCAGGAAATACCGGAGCGGTGGCTACATGCAGCTGGTTCCCTTTTTCCCACAAAAGGAAACGGCAAGTGTTTCTGGGGCCCGAGCTGGAAATGGGGCCCACGGAACAGAAATGTGGGCTTAGGGTAACATTCCAGCCAGAGCCTGGGAGCCCACAGAGCAAGCCCAAACACAGGCCCTGGAGGGTGGTGGAAAGAAGGCTTCAGATCTGACAAAGACCAACACAACAACTCCTGCTATCCAGAAAAAGCGGCAAAATCATTGTACATCGTTATACATGTGTTTGGGCTTTGCTCTTTCATGTAATTTTATGCATTTTGTGTACACTGGGAGGTAGAGATTTGCCAAAGAGCAAAACTGACCGTGAGGCTAGGTCTTGGGCGAGGTAGCAAGAAAAACCTTATACCCTCTGCACCTGAAAGGTGGCAGGTATGCGTGCTGAGAAGGTTCTGTTCAGAAACAGGTGAGCCTCTGAAGCAGCTTGACATTTGCTTAGTCCTTTGGCCACAGACACGGCTCAGCCTCTTGTTCTTTCCAAGTTGATCTTCACTTGAAATTTTTTGTACTACTTTGAAAAACACAGTTTATCTACAATCCACAGTAATAAAGTGCAGGACTCTTCATTCTTACAAGCCTTCACAAACTCATTCTGCAGGACACCAAATTACAGGAAAAAACTAGAAACAACTCAAGCAAAACAAGCAATCTTACACAGGAAGTTGGGTTTATTACAATTTAGATTATTTGATTCGGTGAGTATGCTTAGCAGTGTATGGGCATTTTTGCATTTCATCCGTTGCTCAATCAGCCTGATAATTTGGGTTCTTCTAGTGCCAATTTTTAGTACTAGTAACACAGATTTAGCACTACGTGTATACCTAAGGTTGTTACCATGAAATTCTAGACCATATTCCTCCTTTGTTACTGTTTCCCACCATGCAGTCAATATTTCTGCTTCCTTACATTGGTGCGAATACTGTAATAACAAGTAGACAAGCATCTGTATATTTGGAACCCAGTAGGCAAGAGTTGGTTGAGATGAACCTTTGTGCACGTCAGTACTCTATGTTCCTGACCAGAGTATCCATGTGCTTCTTTAAAATATAGCCCTAGATGAATCATGTGTTTGAGCTTCTGTATCTATAAGATACAGATAAGATTCTATAAGATTCATTTGTTCTATTCATTTCATAATGAGAGCATAAGGGAAAAAAACCCTTATAAATTCTCAGCAAAAGGGAGTGCTAACTTAGTGAAATTTATCTGAGAGAGGGAAGGATAGGAAAGTAACCCAAACACCTGCCACCCCGCAGGAACTTGGCCTTCATCCCAAGAGGCACAGAGAGCACTGTCTTTGATAAACTGAAGAGATGCAGAGCATCAACCAGCTCAAATTTATTGTCAGTCAAGATTCAACTCCAGAACTTCTGACTGGGCCAGGAATCCTGAGATTACAAAGCTTTTGTGGGTGAGTAACAGCCTTACCTACATGGAGTTTGAACTGAACTCTGATTACACTTACGGGTATTCTATTTTCTAAAACCCACTAACAAAATCAGCTGATCTCCAATTTAAAAAGTAGTTATTTTAATTAGTAGTTACCACTTACCCCAAATGGTTAAAGAAGACTAAACAGTAAACCATAAATATATAAACAATTTTATTGGACTATTTCAACTTCTTTTTTATAAGGTCAGTCTGTTCGTGAAGATGTTAGCAATTCCTGCGGGAAAAGAAAGTGGATGTTAGAGAATATATGCTGTATTAAAACAAATACAAAATGCAGAGATCACTGAACTGTACAGAAGTTAGCAGAGAACACAGGCAGGTCTATGTTTAGCAGTAACCCCAACAGCAGCCCCCACCCCAGCATAAAGCCAAGCCCCGTGTGTCAGGAACAGCTGAGCCAGGGATTGCTCACATGTGCTGTGTGGAGAACACAGAGCACCCGAGGCACACGGGTGTGAGAGGCGAGCTGAGCAAAGGGGTGAGAAATGAAGTAATGCACTGCGGTGGCTGAGCGGTTCCTCTCCTGCCAGCAGGAGAGAGGGCTCCACCTGACCTCAGCTTCCTGTATGCTGGCCCTCATCTTTATTTGTCCATCCTCTCGCTGTCCTTCCCCGTAGGAACTTTGAGATCTACACAGGATGCAGCACTTGTGGAAGTCCACTAACTGCTAAATTGCTTGATTACTGTTTCATACATGTTTCACTTTGTTTAAGTGTGTGTTTTTCAGATCACAACCTAAGCACAAAAAGGTTGTTGAGCACTACTTTGATACGTATAATAGCAACATTCCACAGTAATAAAAATCCCTTCAAGTTAACACTGACTTTGCCCCAGTTGGGATTGTTCGAAGCATTATCTTTTAACCATATCTCACAATCCACTTTCTTCAGAAAAACTTCCCAGTCTTCTTCAACATACCTGCTCATCGTAGGCTTCGTTGACAAATATTTCACTGTTCATTAGATTTTCCTCTTCTTGGTTACGTTCTTTATCACAAGCCATATTTCTAGATGATCTCCTAGAAACAAAGAAACAAGTCAGAAGAGTTTTTGTTTGAGGTAGAATCTTAGTTCATGGTATGATTTAGAAATGGACAACTTGTCATCTATATTGTAATGGAAACTATGCCTTATTTTATTTTTTCTTTAATCATGCAAAATGATCTCAAACAGGCAATACTCGATCAATTATTTTGTTAGCAGGCATTGACTTAACTTCCAAACTGGTGTTCACCACTGAGAGAAACCAAATGATTGAAGTCAGTGAAAACTGAATTTGAGGAAAAGTAAGTGACAACCAAACACCAGTGAATTAAGAAAGCTGGTGAATGCAGCAGAAAGACCCACGGTGACAGTCCCAAGGCAAAAGTTAGTAGCTCACTTCATTTTAATGTTAACCAATCAACTATTAACTAGCAATACCTTAGAAATAGATGTGCTAATTCTTCTGGCCTTTTTTTCAATTTGTGAAGGCAGGACAAGGATACAGCTTTTGAAGCTTTAACAATCTCTTTATTTGTTTTAATTTTTCTTAAAGTTTTTTCTCAATCTATCTAGTTTCTTCAATCATATCTTCTTAGTGTATATCTTAGTCTGCCAGAAACATTATTTGCTATTCTTCCTTGTGTCTTGAATGTATTTATTGCTCTTGAACACTAGTTGATACCTTTATTTTAAATGGTTCCTGAGTTTCTTTTTCTATCTCCATTTACAGATTAAGTTGCCAAGCCCCTCTACTGCTCCAAACCCATATCTTGAAATGCTAACCCCATATAATTCAGAACGTGCCTGTGGGTCTTTGAGGAGATAATTAAGTAAAATAAATGGGTGAGTTCTAATCCAATATAACTGATTTCTTTATATGTTTATTAAAAAAAGGAGATTAAGACACAGAGAGAGAACACAGGGAGACATTAGCAATCTATAAGCCAAAGAAAAAATCCACAGAAAAAATAAATCTGATACCTTGATGTTGGATTTCTAGTTTCCAGAATTGTGAGAAACTACTTTATGTTGTCTGTGTCACCCAGTACCTGCTACTGTATTAAGGGATTCCTGGCCAACTAATATAACTCTGAACAAACTTTCCTCCAATCACTGGAACTAACCATGCTGCATCACTGAAAGGGAACCTGCTCACTTCACTCTGGACGCATTAGCTCTGACAGTCATTGCAACAGATTTCACCTGCATACATGCCTCTACATCACACAGGGTTGTTTATCTAAGCCTCACTGAAACGCATGGTCTCGATTATGATTTTTCCAGTTAATTAACAGAGAAGTCTACACTATCGCCAAAATTCTGCCTCAGAAGACAAATTTCTACAGTGGATTTATTTCTTTGGTCCTATTAATCTTATTTTATAAGCCTTCTTTGGAATATGGATTTTCATGAAGGAATTAATAGCTACTCACTTTTTTAATTCATGTACTCTTCTGAAATAAGTGAGTGTTCCCAGCGCTACCAGAAGCACTGATAAAGCCATGGTTATGCAGAGGGCTATGTAAGCAGGGACGAAGCTCTGTGCTTCTTCACAGAACTCTGTGCCATGATCTGTCAGACAGCTGCATTTCCTCAGCCTTCCTTCCACTGTACAGATTCCTCTCCCATTGCAGAATGCGCTATTGCATGGCCTTTGTTTTGTGGTCTGTGAGTCCTTGGGGTGAAAAGATCCTCCGCTTTGCTTGATTTCTGGAATTTTGCTCTGACCAGCAGGCATCTCGGTGGTTTGTGTTTTTCTGACAGGGTGTCTCGTCTCTTGTCGAACAAGGTGTCCAAGCGTGGTGGCCCTGATGCTCTGGAGAGCTTGGGTAGCTGTCAGAACCAAACTCTTTCCTGCTTCTGGCTTTTCAGGTGCCTTTATTGAGTAGGTTTTACCTGTATAGGTGCACACACACACACACACACACACACACACACACACACACACGTCAGTGAAGAATCATATCAAATAAACAAGAAATCTTAAAGTATTAAAGTCTTCATATCACAAGGCATTGAAAATGTTTGGTTTTAGGACCACTTATCACACCTTTCTGTTTCTATTCAATGGCATGTGAATTTTAGTCAAGACACATCTTATAATTTACAAAGAAAGTATGTTTTGTTCTGTAAGGATTATTGTGGTAGATCAAAGTAAACCTTTACAGTAGCAAGATTTTTCAGATGTATATAGGTTTTATGTAATTTTTTAATATTTTGAGGCCAAGAAGCTGTAGGCTCACTGTAGGCTCAGTGAGTTCTACCAGTTACAGATAGAAAATCAGATTTGGTAGATGTGGTAAAAAGGATATAGATAAGCCAAAGTGTAGACAGTGGAGTGCTTCTAACCGAAGACAAATCATAAACTAAGTTTGGATTAAAGTATTTTACCATATTCTTCATTATTGTTGGCATATGTGTTATTCCTTGTGAACACTATAGACAAAACTACAGAGTGGAAAGACTATTAATTTTTTTTTGTACCAGGGTTTGAACTCATGACCTTGTACTTACCAGGCAGGTGCTTATACCACTGAGCTAAACCCCTGGCCCCAAGAAAGAGTATTAATAATAAAAGTTTTTTTGTCTCTGACTTAACATGGTGTTATATTTTAGATCTAAAATGTTCTCCAAAAGCATCCTGTGTTCATAGGTGGGTTTTTGGAAGGTGACTAGATCATGCACGCTATATTCATCAGTGGATTCATCAACTGATCGGTTCATGTGTTGGCAAGAGATAAGGCCTAAACGCAGGGGTGGGTCACTGAGTGTATTGTGTATTGTGTATTGAAGGAGTGTATTCTGTCCTTGGTTCCTCCATTTGGTTTCTGTTCTTGGCTGCAATGAGTCAAGCAAATTCCCCCCACCATGCCCTTCTGCCATGTAATTTCTGCCTTAGAGCTAGCTGATCACATATGGACTGAACCTTCTGAAACCATGAGTCAAAATAAGCCTCCGCTCCTTAATGATGAGGGTGTTGGGTATTTTGACCCAGCAAAGGGAAAGTGACTAATGCAGCTGCTGTCATAGCAGAGTTTCCACTCTTGGACAGTGCAGGCCCTCGATGTCAGGGTGAATCTAGAGGAAGCCAACCCAGTGTTTAAACCCCTGCTTTTTCCTCTCTGCCCCAAATCAAGGGAAACTAATTATTAAAGAGGAAAGCCATCATGATGGCTGAGGCCACTGGCAATGGGAGAACAGGTGAAGATAATACTCCTGGTTTAGCTTTAAAATCAGATGGAGGAAGTGACCAGGGTCCCTCTTGCTGATACCAATCCCCTCACAGTACAGGGTTTCAACCAAAACTCTTAGTTTGCTATCAGCTCTGGGATCAAAATTCATTTTCTTTCTTATTTAGGATGAAGTTACTAGGAGTAATAACATACTTTAGCTAGTCAGGGTTTCAGATGAAGAGAATTGAAATTGGTAACTAAATGACCAAACCCTTTCTTCACTGACTGTGACCACTTTCAGTAATTGGTCAACTCTCTCATTGGTTCCATAGGTTGTGAGACTAGGAGATTACTATAGCAATATCCACCGAATTGGACAATATTGAATATAAACTGAATTAGATAATGTAGACATTCAACTGATTAGCCATGCAGCCCCTTTCCATGAAGAAACTAACTGATCTATACTTAACAACAATCATCTACAGCTAGTTTTTAAGTCCAAATATGCCAGTACTGAGTTCTACCATGACATCTTTAGGTACCTTCTCATGTGTTCCTTAACAACTAACTATATTAGTTAGAAAATGTTGCTTCTACTTTAAAAAGAAGGGATCAAAACAGGACAAATGGTTCACTCATATGTCACCCTCTAGGCTACTACTGTGTCATCAATTTATAATGAGTCAAGTATAACTTAAATGAGTGCCATTTCAGACAAAATGTAACCTAGTGCCGAAAGACCCAATATGCATAATGAAGTAGGCAGTACTCACAGTCCATTTCATCAGATCCATCAAGACAGTCACTATGACCATCGCAAACTTGCTCCATGGAAATGCATTTCTGACCATCCTTACAAGACTGTGAAGACACAGAGCACTGGACAGCCTCAGTACATTTGTTTGCATCAGCCAAGTAGTACCCACTGGGACACTTGCAAGTCTGACCCTCGGGATTTGGTAAACAGATGTGGCTACATCCTCCATTATCTTTTGAGCAGCTATTATTACCTGTGGATCCCCAACCCCACCCCACAAAATATACTGAATTAAATTAAGCTCAGAAGAGTCACATGCAAATTTTTTCAAACACAGTATCATAGTTAGAAGATACAGATGTTTTCTCCAAATTAGATAGCTCTTCAATTTAATTCCTTTTAATCAAGCAGGTTCAGAATAATTAGTGATCCTTTTTCATAAACAGAATGGCTTTTGAAGTTTAGGATAGCTTAAGGAAAACAGAGTATCATTATTTCAAGAGTTTATTATGAATTTTGCTCAGATCAAGCAACTAGCAACCATCAGAACTAGCAAGACCTTAGGGATAAACCTTTTTATTTGAAAATATGGAAAATATGGTGTTTATTATCCCTTTGAGAAACTGATTAAATCAGTCATTTATGGCTTGGCTTCATTCTCCAATGCTTGTATCTTAAGTTTTAATCTCTAGTGAAGATTTATTCTGTAATATATTCCAGGAGCTGTGATAAATACGAGGTACAGATAAAGCAGTAACAAGCTTCCTTCTAATTTTAAAAACTAAGCACAGATCATGTGAGTGACCATTTATCAGTCCGAATCTAAGAGATTTTCCTCACCAGGCCAACAGCATAGGAGCCTAAGCAAAACTAACACTACTGCAGGATATTTAGCCTTCAGAATAAAACAAGGAAGCGGCAGTCTGTTAGGACTGATATATCCATTGTACAGAATGGTACAGGTGGTCATGAATTAAATTTGTATTGCTGGCTTTAATCTCAAATAGGCATATATGTCATTTACTGCTACTTTATTGAGCCCATCACTACCCTCTTAAAGTATTTGGATATGTCAATTGTGTCTGTAAAAAAATAGGGAAAAACATTTGAGCATCCTCAAGTTGTTACAGCAAGAATCACTTGACATCAAAAGTAGATGCAAATGGCAATGAGTAGAATTCAGATTCGCTCTACTTTGGAAATGTTATTTCAAATGTATTACTATTGTTGTAATTCAGTCTACAATACTAAATCTGAAATAGAATCCAGATGTTACGGATTGGACCATAACTATCCCCCAAAGGTCCACATGGTAAAACCTTCCTCTTCCATGTTCTCCTGTAGATAGGGCATTTGAGAAGCAAGGCCTGATGGGATATCCTTAGGTCACTGGGAATGCTCTTTCAGGGGGATTATGGGACCCCAGTCTCTTCCTCTTTTGTTTTTGATTCCTAGTCAAGAGGTGAGCAGATTTGCTCTGCCTTGTGCTCCTTCCATGATGTACTGCCATGCAATTTATCATGGACTGAAATGCCTAAAATTGTGAGCCAAAACAAACCTTTTTACTTTATAAGTTGATTATCTCAAATATTCACGATATCAAGAGAAGATACAACATTGATCCTACAAACATCTAGCCAGATACTATTGTACCTACTAGATAAATAATAGAACTAATTATAATTACACATCTAAGACAAACTACATGTAACTGTACAAATAAAATAGAATTGTGTATATCCATAGGAATTTGCCAGATAAATAGTTTAATGTAATAAAAGAGAAAGACAAAAATATTTTGTGACAATATTGCAGAGTGGTATATTCCTTTTTATGTTAGTCATCTTTCGATCACTGAGGCAAAATACCTGAAAAAAACAACTTACAAGAGAAAAAAAGTTATTTTGGCTAGTAGCTTCAGTTCATGATCACTTGGCTTTGTTGCTTCTGAACTATAGTGAGTCAAACATCATGGTAAGGAGCATACGATGGGGCAAAGCAGCTCACCTCATGCAGGACAGGACAGGGCAAGGACGAGAAAAGAGAGGAGAGAAGAAAAAATAAGGGGAAGAGAGGAGGGGAGAAGGGGGAAGGGAGGAAAGGGATTAACAAGGGTGAGTTGGTCTTCCAGGCATGTAGCCAGTCGTACTTCCTCGAACCAGACCTCACAGCCTAAAGTTTCTACCACCTTCCAATAATGCCATGAAATTATGCCTCCTTCAATGGGTTAACCCACTGATGAGATGAGAGTCCTTGTGGACCTCCCCCAAATCCCTCCCAGCTGCAAATGGGACTAAAAGTTCAACACATGAGCTTTTGGGGCACAGTTGAGATACAACTCAACACTCTCCATAAGGAAATTCAGCAGACTTTTGTCTAATCATTGCAAGTTTACTCACCTTGTTGATTAAAGGTACTATACACTTTTAAATCCACAATCTTCTGGTCAATTTGGAACCACCAGTTTTCTGGAACTTCCTTTTTGCTATACCAAACTTTAGTGATTTCGGCTAAAACAAAAGCCAATGAATGATCATTAACAAAACCAAAATTTTCTCTTAAAGAAACTTCCTGAGCAGAGAACATTGCTCAATGTAAATATTTTACTTACCTGGATAAATTCTAGATGAATAACTAAAGTTTTACAGAATAGACATACATGTAGTTTCCTAAATCTTTTGAGAAGTTCCAAGAGAAAATAGAACTATCATATACTTTCCTATAAGTAAATTCATGTATTAATAAGCTACGTCTAAACAAAAAGAAATGTGCCACTTACATATAGTCCATGCGGTGAATAATATTTTTAAATAATAATGTAATATTTTGAAATGGCTTATCTGCAGCAAGAGTTATCAGTGGATTTTGGAAAGATCCAAAAGTCTCATCATATATCTAGCACATTGAAGTCTCTGGAGTAGGGTCCAAAAATATGTTTTTAAAATTCTGATATGGCCAACTGAACTGGCCAGAGAACCAGAATTTGAAAATGTAAAGAGACATCTATTTTAATCATCATTTTCTAGTCAAGTCTGGAAATGGTCAGAGATTTATACACAGAAACCTAGTGCACACATAATGTACCAGAAGCCTGTCATTCAGGAGAATCCCTTTGAAATGTCAGAAATGCCATGCTGGAATGCTCTATAGGTCAACTAGTAATTTCATGCATACTCAGTCAACTAATCTAGACACTGCACTCATTTTGCAGGCAAAGTGTTTCAGCTACTAATTGGCAGAGCAGGTATATGACAAAGGTCCAATCCCTGGCCTAGTGCTCTCTACTACACCGTTACTGTAGCTTGGATACATAGTCCTTAAAGGCCTCTGTGTGGAAGGCGTGGTCTTTAGCTTACTGGAACTTTCAGAATGTGAAGCCCAGTGCAATGGAAGGATGTTAGATTGTTGGTGGTGTGCACTGGAAGGAAGGTTCCTCTTTTCTTTTTTATTTCTTGTTGTCATGAGTGAGCAACCTCCTCTACCACACGCTTCCACTGTGATGTACTGTCTCACCAGGCCCAGAGGCAACCACAGACTGAGATCTTGAAGCTATGAGCCAAAATAAACTTTTCCTGCTTATAATTTGAATATCACTGGTGCTCTGTCACATAAACAGAAAGTTAACCTAACTATTGTAACTTTGACAGCAAGAGCCTCATATGAAAGCTAAGGATTTTAAAAATGGATAAATCTACTCATATAAAGAACAAGCAATTAAGTCAAAGTTCCCCAGAAGTAAAATAATCACTGTTATACATGCTTTTTCAAGTTAGAGAAGTTGCTTAGTTATACTTTGAAGGAAAGCCACTTCCAAAGACATGTTCCTAAGCAGCAGTAGCAGATGCTCTTCGGATTATCAGGAGTAAATTCAGATTGCAAAGATGACCACATACAGAATGAAAACCTACCATCATCAACTGTGGTCCAGAACAGCATGCCTTGGCCACATGTGAAGAGGCTTAGGCCCTCAATTCCTCTGCGTTCTACTCTGTGTCTGGAGCCATCCTGCTGAATGCTTTCTATGAGTCCTCGCGCTAGGAAGACAGGCTCAGTTAATTTTATTTATTCCAAACAGCTTTAACTTATTGTGTCTTGTCCTGCCTCACCTCCCAAGGGACACTACCCGCCATGCCTTCTCTGTAGCCAGTTTGGCTTCATCCCTCTCTAACATGAATTTGCATAGACTTGCTCATGCATGTTAATTAAATCCTCAATTATATTTTTTTACAAAAGGGAAACTGCATGATTTCATGCATCATAACATGCTATTTAGGCTGGAAAATGATGTTTTGTGTGGAATACATTGGCAGAAAATATATACACTGGCCTAAACTCTATTTGAAGTTGGTGCTGACCAGAGTATACAACTTCACTATTTCTCTTTGGCTTAAGGTCGCTTGGATTGATGTTTAGAATGTAGATAACAGCAGCTTACCAGAATCAGCCCAGTACAGTCGAGTCCCTGAATCTGAAAAGGCCAGGCCCACAGGCACTTGGGATTTCTGCCATAGTACCTTTCTCCCACTGCCGTCCATGGCGGCACATTCAATGCTGGACTCACGACTCCCGTCACTCCAGGGACCCAAGTCCACCAAGCACATGGCTGCAGCAGGTGGGTGCAGAACAACAGAAGCTGGATGGGAAAGATTTTCACGGAGCAAGACAATGGGGTACTGGCCATTTGAGGAAGCTACGTTAATGTGGGGATTCTCACTGTCGATCCAATATATGTTTCCACTCAGCCAGTCCACAGCAAGGTCGATCACAGACCCCTCCACAGAAAAGAGCTTCCTCCAAGAAAGTGTCCCCGATTCTTTAAGCCTCAGTAGCCTGATATCACCGTTATTCAACTCAGAAAGATACAGGGCCTTCTCTTGCACAAGATAATCCATTGACGTAAGCTGGTTCACATTGATAAAAGGAAGCATTCTATGTTCTGGCAAATTTGCTTGTCTTGGTAAAGTTTTGAGATTTTTCAAATAGATCTACAGAAAAAAAAAAGGTGGATGGATAATACTGGTTGAATCTAATATAATTCCATATCTTAATTCTGCATCAATGTGATGACTTTTAAGTTCAACTTTTCAGTATTTTTATTTTCTAAAATCTGTGATCAGTTATTTTTTTTTTCCCTTCCTGGACCTTTGAGTACTGAAATTTTCTGGAATTCTTGTGTCTTAAAGACTTTCACCTTTGTTAAGCCCTTTTCTTCAAAATAATATACAACTAATTAGTATCTTACTAAAACTGAAGCTAGTCACCCACTCCAAAATCTGTTTTGTCATTTTAAAAGACCACAGTTGACAGGTCCTCTATATGGCAGATGTAAGGGATGACTTACTTGTTCATACTTTTTATTTTCCTATAATTTAAGGCAGATTTCTTCACAAAATGTACTTTCTCCCCAGGCTGGAAGCCAAAAGAGCTGCTTGTATTTAGAGTTACTACCCCCACATAATAGGCTGCATTTTAGACAATTAAACAAAAGTAAACTCACAGACCCCTAACTTGACTGTTTTCTGGTTTACTAAGTACTTCCTAGGGACATTTAGGTAGATAGGGTCTTCATTTAATTATTTTTTAAAAAACAATACTTTGCTTGGCCAAGATACTTTCTTTGGACCATGATGGCATCCAACACAGTCAACACTAAAACGTAGGATGTATTTGAAGATTATTTCGAGGGCAAGGGCGCTTACCAGCTATGACTGTATGTGGAGGATTCAAATGTCCAAGTCTGAAATGGAACACAGAGCAAGCAGGAGCATACTAGGGAAGCTTCAGGTCAGTACCTGTGTGATAACTCTGGGCAACACAAGGAAGACAAATGCAGACTCTTGGAGGGGGACACAGTTGAGGCCATCATCTGTAAGCAAGGAACCGACTGGGCAAAAGCAGCTTCCCTCGGATCGTGGGCTCAGAAGGCACAAGTGGGAACATCCAGTGTCCAGGCAAGGGTTCAAAGACCTGGGCTGTAGCACTTCGTGCATTACCTGAAAAAAATAGCTAGAAGCCACTATGCATTCCTGAATCCTTAAAAACGGAGCATGCGCCTTTCCCTTTCTTTTTTCTTTTCTTTTTTTTAATGGTAAGAGATACTGAGCTTAGAGCCTTGTGCATGTTAAGCACACACTATACCATTGAATTACACTCCCAGCCCAAATGTGGCTTTATAAAATTATAGACTGACATCGTTAAGGTTGATATCTAGAGAGGTCACACACACACAGAGGCTTGTCAGGGAAAACTAGGGAGATATTTTAAAGAGCACACTGGGCACCTTGAGTCCATAGGGCTGCCCAGAGCGCTTGATGAGGACAGCCCGGCTCTTGCCTGTCATCTTCTGCACACGCTGTATTGTTCTCGTTTTCATCTCAGACCAGAAGACTTCATCTTCAAAAACAGTGACTGAAAACGGGTTCTTGATTTGTGTTAGCTGCAACATCTAAAGTGGTAAAGGTGAGCTTTCTGGAGTGAGTTCTACACCAGACATGTGACATTTTAAACAAGCCTCCTGTCAAAAGGACACTTACACGAATGCCAGTGCCATCTAAGTTGGCAGAACCAATGCTGTGAAATTTGTCATCGGACCAGAATATCTTCCAACTTAACTGGTCAAGAGCTATGCTTGTTGGCCGTCCAAGACCTTGATCGATGAGTATTTTCCGGCTGCTTCCATCCATTCCAGCTTTCTCTATTTGAGGTTCTTCTCCAACTTCAGACCAGTACATTAACCTATGTGAATAAAAGTCAGCTTTAAGATAATGCATTGCCTTGCATAATATCAATACATTCCCTAAAATACTCATTGATAGCCCAATGATTTTTTCTTAACCTTTAACTAGGTATATTCTTTAAGTATAATTGTGTAATAGTAAAAAAAACTTTTCCTTGAAATTATATGGTGATTATTAAGTCATCTTTTGAGGGTAAAGTATCTATCATCATAGTTGTATGAAAAACCTGGGAGGCTATTAGTCCCTATCCTGGAAAATATCCAGAAAATACACAAGTTTTTATAGGTAGAAAATAGACTAGCACAATGTGTAGATGAGTACCTCAGACCTCATTTCCGACCATAGTCTAGTGGTTGTATCAAAGGCTACTGTTAATTTTCTGGTTACAGGTATGTAAAAGGTAAGAAAGAAGAAAGGAACTCAATATGTGTTCTCTTTGTATCCTAGTTTTCCTGTGTCTTTTGATACACTTATCATCATACCAGTGAAGGAATGTGAATATTAACTTTCTCAGCATTTCAAAGAGAAGAGACTCCACACAGAACAACTCAAGCTTCATTCAGATACAGATTATTGTTAATTAAGTACTCCTACTAGTTAAAATCTCCCTTTAGCTGCCATTTTAAAGTTCACCAGAGGTATATTTTAGCAGAAGAAAGTCCAGGTGGACCACCAAGTGAGCTCACATGTACTTCTCATTTTACTGAAATTAAGAACTTTTTCAAGAAGCTTTTAAGATTATCATGTGTGTAGTTGACCCACATCACCATAAAATCTAACATGATAGCAAGTTTTCTATTCACTCCTTCTGTGTTAAGGAGACACAAGCATATGGAACACTGGAAGAATAACCAACTTGAAGGTCTTCGTCCGGCAATCAGACACTGACTCACCCATTTAGAGGATCCAAAGCCAAAGACTGGGGTTGAGTCAAGTCATCATCCAAGACAATCGTGTACTCAGATTTTCCTCTCCAAACGGCAGTCAGTGGAATTGCCAAAATCTGACCAGCTGTCCCATCAGTCCAGTACAGATTCCTCCCAATCCAGTCAACTGCTATACAGTGTGACTTTATCCCTAAAGAAATCATTCAACATGTGTACTTATGATAAACTATAACCTTTATATGCCATGTTGATTCATTTCCCCCCTGCTATACGGATCTCCAAGATAGCAATCTTCTTTAAAATGTTCAAAACACTATTGCAGAAGAAGATAACCATTAGAAATAATATCACTTACAGATAGTTTGGTAGACCATCTTGTCTAATGAGCTGACAATGCATCTTTGTAATAAGCAGCTTCCAGCTACCAAGTCTTGATTTCTTTTTGCTAAGGAGATAGCCAAGGCAGTAGCTTGGCACACTCCTTTGTCAACTGAATTGGCAATGCATCTTACCAACTAGCAAGTCTTGGCCTTTTAGTTAGGAAACTAACCACACTAATGTTTGGAATGTTAATGGTCATTTATTTCCTTATGTATGCTATGCGCATTTTAGCAAGGGCAAGATGCATGCCACACTAAGGGGCTTACCTTTCACCACAGTGCCTTTCCTTGTTGTGTCCATACTTATCCACTGTATACTTTCTGCATTGAAATCTGCCCAAAAGACTTTCTGATCCACTAAGTCATAGTCAACAGAGAAAATAATCAGGTTCTTATCGATAGTTGTCAGAATATCTTCTTTCAAACTCCGTAGTCCATAGAGAAATAAGTTAGATTGTATTGCAACAAGCAGGATCGGTTCAGTACCTATGAAGTAAGAATTGCCTTCAATATGGCATTAAAAGAGTTTGAAAAGTGAATACCAGTGCTAGCTAGAAATCCAAGGACACAGTAGTCTTTCGCTCTCATTGCCAAAGGTGAGATGCCAATTATCCTGTATCAAAGGAATTCTCATCATGGCACAGTTAGAACAATAACTAACTTCAAAGGTGTTTAAAGTAAATAAACAGTAGTTTAAATTTTAAAAAATTCTCACATTTCTGACAATATTTTGAGGGGAGGCACGTGTAAAGAAATGCTTTACAGGACAGGTAAGGTTGATCCATGAATATAGCAGCCATAGTTATGGCTTTGTTACAGTAATAATTTATTATAGACAGTTTCAAACTGTCATTCAGTGTAAAGTACAAGGTAAAGTACAAAAAATGTCTTTGGGGGTAGGTTAGGCTTTTTCTAAGTACAAATAAATAAGCTGGAGATCTAAAGAGAGATTCAGATTTATGCTCCTAGAAGTTTTAAGAATTTAAAGGTAGCTGATTGTGAAAGGAAGGATATCTTGAAAATAACAAAAGATCAGGAAATAACAATTCAACAGCTGCAAGATAACACAAAGGAAAATAATACAAGAATAACTGTTATAAATGAAAAGGAGGCATCAACACAGATGACAAAAAAAAAAAAACTATTTGCAGAAATAATAGCAGAAAATTTCCCAAGAATGGGAAAAGAATCTGACACACAGAAAAGTGAAGCATATAGAACTCCAATTCACCATAACCAAAATAAATCTACATTCAGATGTATTATAATCAAGATCCTGGAAATTCAGCAGAAGAAAAAAATAATAAAAGCTGTTAGAGAAAAGAAACAGATCACCTACTAAGGAAAACCCATCAGAATCACGGCAGACTTCTCAACACAAACCATCAAATCAAGAATAGCTTGGAGTAAAGTATTTCAAGTTATAAAAGAAAATAACTTCCAGCTCAGACTGATATACCCTGCAAAACTATCTTTCAAAATCAATAGAGAAATAAAATACTTCCATGACAAAGAAAACTGAATAAATTCATGACGAGCAAACCAACTCTACAAAGGGTACTGAAAGATATTTTAAACAGAGATAAAAATGACAATTTTAAAAACAACAACAGAAATAAATCACCAAGCATGGTGAGCAATTAAACAGAGGGAAAAAGTAGGGAGCCAACAGCAGGAAAATAACACAACAAAGATAAGTCAACACATATCATTACCAATTAAATGAAACAGATCAACAGAATGGATCAAGAAACAACACCCAACAATATGCTGCACACAAGAAACACATTTACCTCAAAAAAGGATTGACAACAATATTCCATGCAACAGGAATGCAGAAAAAGGCAAGGGTCGCTATTCTGTTCGCAGACAAAGTGAACTTCAAACTAAGCATGAGCTAAAGAGATAATCACCATATACTTATGAAGTGAAAACTTCAAGAGGAGGAGATAATAATCATAAATATGTAGGCACCAAATACAGGTGCACCCAATTGTATAAGACAAATTTCAGTAGACAAGAAAAATGAAATAAACAACACAGTTGTAATGAGGGACCTTAATACCCTACAGTCACAAATAGATGGGTGAATCAGACAAAAAAATTAGTAAAGAAATATTAGAACTGAATCAAACCTGTGAACAAATGAACTTACTAGATGTTTATAGAGTGTTTTGCCCAACAACATCAAAGTACACATTCTTCTCAGTTGCACATGAGATATTCTCTAAAATAGACCATATATTAACCCATAGAACATGCCTAAGTAAGTGCATAAGAGATGAAATTATCCCATGTATATTATCTGACCATAGTTTCATAGTTCAATGAAATTAGGAATTAATGGAAAAATAAACCACAAAACTTTATAAATGCATAGAAATTAAGTAATACCTGCCTGAACAACAAATGGGTCACAGATCAAATTATGGAAGAAACTAAACAATATCTACAATTAAATGTAAGTGCAGATACAACACACTGGAACCTGTGGGACACAATGAAAGCAGTCCTAAGAGGAAATAAATCAAATTTAAATTATTATTGTTCACAGATGACAAGACATTCTACATAGAAGACCCCAAAAACCCTACCAAAAGACTTCTAGGTTTAGTAATCAAAGTCAGTAGTATATCTGGATACAAAGTAAACACTCAAAAATCAATAGCATTCCTCTACATGAACAACTAACTCCCTGAGAGAAACTAGAGAAATCACATCCTTGACAGTGGCATCCAAAAAATGAAATACTTAGGAATCAATCTAATGAAGGAAGGAAAGTTTCGATATATTGAAAATTATAGCACTCTAAACAAGGAGATGGAAGAGAATATCAGAAAATGAAAGGTATCCCTTGCTCATGGATAGGTAGAACCAACATAGTGAAAATGGCCATACTCCCTCAAATTGTTATACATATTTAATGCAATCTTGATCAAAATACCATTAGCATAACTCACAGATCTAGGAAAAAAATCCTAAAATTCACCTGGAACCAGAGGAAATCTAGAATAGCAAAGGCATTCCTGGGCAATAAAGGTAAGGTAGGAGGCATCACAATCTCTAACTTGAAATTATTCTACAAAGCTTCTGTGATAAATGGTACTGAAAAAAAAAAACAGACATGAGGATGAGTGGAATAGATTAGAAATGCAGACACAACTACAAAGACATTCACTCACCTTATCTTTGACAAAGGGTCCAAACATGTCTACCAGAAGAAAAACAGCCTCTTTAATAAGTGATGCTGGAAAAACTTGCTCTCAATATGCCAAAGTCTAGACCTACTACCATGCCCATCACCATGTACTAAAGTCAATTCAAAATGTATCAAAACCCTACATATTAAAACAGAAACACTAAGCCTCCTGGAAGACAAATTAGGTAGAGATCTTGAAGACATAAATGTAGGTAGAGAGTTCTGAACGAAACCTAAACTGCATAGGAAAAACTTCAAAGAATCAACAACTGGGATCTCATCTTTTTAAAAGGATATTATGCAGCAAAAGAAATCATCAACAAAGTGAAAAAAAAACTTTAGCCAACTGTCCCTCAGACAAAGGATTTCTATCTAGAATATATAAAGAATTGAAAAAATCACACCCCTCAGATTCAAGGACTTAATTCAGAAATGGACATGTGAGATGAATACACACATGAAAAAATGTTCAGCATCACTGTCATTAGAGAAATGCAAATTAAAACAACATTGAGATTCCATTTCACCCCAGAAAGGATGGCTATCATCAAGAGGTCCACCAGCAAAAAATTCTGGAGAGGGTGTGGGAAAAAATGAACCCTTCTCTGTTGACGTAGACTGGTACAGCCAGAGCGAGACTTCTCAGAAAACTAGAATTGGAGGTTACATTTGACCCAGCTATTTCCCTTTTGGTATCTTCCCAGAAGAATTAAAAACAACATATCACAGAAATACATGTGCACCTATGTTGACAGCAATACAATTTGTAATAGCTAAATCTTGGAAACAACCCAAATATCCATCAGTTGAGGAATAGATAAAAAAGATGTGATATTTTCATATGGGGTACTATTTAGGCACAAAGAAGGATAAACTTAAGACTTTTATAAGTAAATGGCTACATGAGATCATACTCATAAGTTAAACAAATCAGTCTCACATGTATAAACATTGTATTGTCTCCCTAATGTGAGAAACTGGGAGAGTAAATAACTTCTAAAATGTACAATAGATAGTGTGAAATTGGAAGCAATTGTTTAAAAGAGAAAAAGAACTAGGATGGGTAAAAGGGGAAAGGACAATAGACAAAAGGAAAAAAATGCAAGTCAGTTATGCTATTAGTGTCTCTTAGTTCCTAGAAGAGGAAGGTTTTGTGTTAATATGGATTGGAGAAATTTTTATACCCATATCTTATATCCTGAGCAACTACTTTAAACATAACAGCATGCAAGGTATTAACTACTGTTATTCCTCTATTATTTTGTTATGAAATGTTGTTTTTTTCTTTTTTCCATAAAAAGGAAGAATTTAAAGCTAGTGACCTAGGATTTAGAAGACATTCCCGGTTCCAGTTTACCTGTTGCCTTACAGGCATGGCCGTCAGGCTCCAGGGAGTAGCCAGGATGGCAGGTGCAGATGTAGGAGCCCTCGGTATTGACGCAGGTGTGACTGCAAGGCTGACCACCAGACCCTTGGCACTCATCCACATCCTCACAGCTCCCTGCATGGTTCTGGAAGCCTGGCTCACAAGTGCAGACCTGACGGAGGTGAGAAGACACTGAGCCTTTCTGAAGACAGAGTAGTAGTCATTTAAAAAGTGGCAGGCAAGGAGATCAGTTGGTAAAGAAGAACACATGGAGATATATTCCATTTTGGCAACTATTGGCCAGCAATTCTTAGAACCAATCTATTTAAAATAGATTCCTTGTTTCTCTTTGCCTTAACTACTTTGCCTTACCTCTTACATCACTGGGTCCTGAGTTGGGCAAAGGTACCCAGATTCAGTAAGAGAAACCAGGATCCGTGAGAGGAAAAGCAAGCAAACTTAACTGAAATGGTTGTCGATCAAAAGAGATGCTTCTATGACCAGGCAACAGAACAGTTTTCTTTTACTTTCCCATTAGAATTAAGTGTGCTGTGTTTAATCAACTAAAAACATTAACTAGAGAACAGATGATCCTCAGTTTAAGGGTAGGTCAGATTCCAAACATGGTAGAGATGATTTGCAAGTTGTCAGTTACCTGAACTGCAACCCCATGGAGCTGTTTAACTCTTAGAGTAATCAAAAGATTTCTTGTTTACCCACAAGTCTCACCCAGAGCTGACACGGAAGTAGACTGAGTGGTAGAGTTCCAGACACAGGTGGGGAGGAGCTGGACAGGATTCACCAGGAGCCAGGAAAGGCCTGGGCACATCAGACAGCCCTGCCATGTAAGACTTCAGGGTAGCAACCCATCAGCCCTGCCATGTAAGACAGGAATAGGGAAACACCTGTGTTCCCTAGACCAAGAACAGCGGAAGCAACTCACAGGCCCAACCGGAGATGAGTGGCAGGTCTGGGGACACTGTCCGGGGCTGCATGCTGATAGTTGGCACCTGCCACCTTCATCCGAGCTGTCAGCACAGTCCTGCTTCCCATCACACACCAAGCTGAAGTTGAGGCAGATAGAGGTGCCACACTGGAACTCAGATGCCCGGCACTTCTGAGGGGGGCCTGTTGGGATGACCCCCCACTTAGAATCTTATAATCCACCTCCTAGACATTCCTCCCTGGCAGGGCTTCCCTGGTGCAGTCAACATGCCCTCATTTGGGGAAAGGAATGGATTTTGGCTGCTGCAGCCTTTGCTCAAGGAGCTGGTTTCTCACTCCCAAGTCACAAGAGCACCAGGGTCCCCTGTGTTTCCTTTACTTACATGCAGCCTCGTCACTGCCATCCCTGCAGTCCCTCTCCCCATCACAGTGCCAGAAGTCGGGCACACACTGGTCTCGGCTGGCACAGGCCCACTGCTGTGGGCTACACCGGAGCGCCTCAGGATCACAGTCCTGAGAATACAGAACATATGAGAATGTTTGGAATCTAGGGCCAGAGGGCAAGGGCCCTCAGAGGAAGGAGAGTTGGTGGTAGCAGGGTGCTCTCAGATCCCTCCTGCAAGGAAGCCCCATGCAGACTGCAAACTCAGAAGTGACACAAATTTAAGAAATTCTTTCTGTAACTGGAGTTTAGGTGAGGTTTTCCTAAGAGTACAAACCTAAGTTCAGGTGAGGATTTCTAAATATACAAATCTGGGCATAATGTGGGAGGAAATGTGTTATTTTGTCAAACTGATCTCAACTGCACTTAGGAAACATACACAAAGGAATATGTTTCAGCAACTCTAACCCAGGCTCCAGCTGGTAAAACTGACAGCATATTCTGCATTTACTGTGAGTTGGCTTCTCGGGAGGAAGGGGAGCACCTATGTACCAGCCAGTTCCCAGAGCCTTTATGTAAATTCTCAACCCCTCAGACAGGATGAGGAAAACCCTAGACCCACTTTCCTGTGAAGAAATATAACCTTCCCATGTGCTTGCTGAAGGTCATATGAGATCAGCAAATTCACATCCAGACTGCACTTTATATAGTCTTAGAGCTTCTGTAAACTTCAGAGTGACAGTTAAGCAAAGTTAGTGGTAGGGTTGTTCACGTCTCCAGTGCATATTTCTACATAGGACAAAGTTATCATATCTAATACTTGAAAATCTCCTCCTACAAAATAGATACAGCCTCTGTTAGAAGTTTGATTTTTAACAGCCGCTTGTTGATGCTTTAGATACTTTAATAAAGTTACGAGTGGCTTTTAGGGAAGTGATTAAGGGAGACTTCTCTCTTATGTTTTCCCAAATTTTCTATAGAAAATGTGTTACTGCTGTGATTAGAAATCTATGGTCAGCTCTTGCCCTCTAGTGATTCCATACCAATGCATTTAACTGAATGCAAATCAAAAACAGTGAGATGCATCTGTACTGAACAAGTATCAAATTTTTTCTTTGCATTATTCCCTAAGCAATACAGTATACCAACTACTTATATAACATGTACATTACATTAGATATTGTAAGTAGTCTAGAGATGATTTAATATATGGATTATAATCAAATATCTCCCGTGCCATTTCACGTGAGGGACCTGAGCAAGGCCATATTTGTATCCTTGAGAGGTCCTGGAACCAGTTACCTATGGAAGCTGAGGTTGATGGCACTTTTGTATTTTCCTGAAAGAAGAGTGTGCTACCTTCTCATCACTTCCATCTTTGCAGTCTAGGTCATGGTCACATATCCACTCTGCTAATACACATTCTCCACTGGTCCTGCACTTCACTTCCCCCACCGGGCACCGCAGAGGCCAAGCAGAAGGACAGCCTTCTTCATCCGAGCGGTCCAGGCAGTCTGGGTTCCCATCACAGTGCAAAGAGTAGGACACACATTGGCCGCTCTTACACCTGAATTCAGATGTACTGCAGTTCTCATGGACTGAAAAAATAAAGCTTAAAGTAAGAATTCAGCCAGATGTGAAGCAATTCAAAGACCAACAAAATGATTTAAAGAGTCACCTGGCTCCTGCTACAGCCATGGGAATCATCTGCAGTAGGTGTCGGAACACGAGAGTGGTGCAAGCTGAGAGTTATGCCAGAAAGGAACTACTAATAGGCCCCCCCACACACAGAAGCTGCCTCAAAACCCCCTTTGTCTTAGAAAAGAAGGGCTGAGACACAAGGATGGAAGATATGTAGAAAGACTCTGGGAAAAAGTAAGGACCCTGGCAGAGTAAGGACTCTCCGCTAGGGAAGTACAGGTACTTTATTTCATATACAAAAAAGGAGAAGAAGAAATCTGCTACAACATGGGAACATATAATTTATGCTCTTGGACTCAATATCTACATATAGATACCACTTGATTTGGTTCAAGAAAAAGAACCAGGCCCTATGGAAAACCACAAGTATATATTTTTTAAAATTTCAAATTAAAAAATGAAAATGATGATATAGAATTTCAAAACAGAATAATAGAGGATTGACAATAATTAATGTGTTGCATACTGTTGTCTTCAAAATAGTTGTTCAGATTACCAGATGTATGCATGAAAAATGATCACATAATGAAAACACAAATTGTTTTAAGTATGTATTAATAAGTAAATGATTTAGTCTTTTCACTTTCTCCCTGTATTGCTTATCTTTGTTAGTCCCATGAACGCAAGCACAGTCATAGCCGCTGGCTAAGTAATCACCTCCACGCCCAAATCTATGCTGGTACCTCACCCGCATCCTTTTTTTCCCACTTCAATTCTCATAATTCTTTCTTCTGCCCTCATGAGAAGGATGATGTCAGTCTTTGAAACATGTCACTGGTAAGAATAAAAATGAAGACCATATATCCCATAAAGATGGGGGGAAGTACTAACACCTACAAATGAGATGGTCTCTCACCTGAAGAGCCCTAGAACCAAAACTTTAATCTTCAAGGATGTAAATTTTGGCTTCACAAGAAATAATTTCAGGAAGTAGTATTCTGTATATGAGGGATGCTCAGTATAATCTCCAAAATTCCTCCAATCCAAATGTTGTCATCTTATTCTGTTGCCTTGTGGTAAGCACAATCATCCCTTACTATGTGTGGCTTCAGTATTTACACATTAGGCTACTTGCTAACCACAAATCTTCCATACCTTCATGGTCATTTGCTGATACAAGAGAGCAATAAAGAAAATCTGAATCACCCAATGTGCAATCCTAGTTATAACTATACAAGGCAACTCTCTGCCTTCTTAAATCGACTCTCATATTGTAAATAAGTGTCCTTTCTGCAGTGTATTTAGGGCCGTCCTTCCACATTTGTGTACTTTTACTGACTTTGCTATTTAAAATAGCTCCCAAATGCCATGCAGCAGTCCATCTGGTGTCCCTGGGCACTAGAAGGCTGTGATGTGTCTCAAGGAGAAAGCACTTGTAGTAGACAGGCTTCCAGACAGGCACTGTGAGTTCAAGGTTGATGAATCGTCAATACATATTAAGACATCTTTAAACAGAAACACACAATAAAGTCACATGCCCAATGACTGACAAAAACGTTGTGACCAGTGACTCAAAGGAACCCGACCTCATATTTTGCCCCCACAACAATGGTTTGACATCTGCTAATTCAGTGTTTGCAAAAGCTTTATAGAACATAACTACCACACATAAGAAGACTCAACTGTAACACAGCTTAAAATAATCACAGAAAGCTGCACAGAACTTACGACATCCTTGTTCATCTTTTTTGTCAGAGCAGTCCGGGTTCCCATCACACAGCCAGCTCTTGGGGATACAGCGAGTGTTTTCATCACAACGCAGAGAACAATCCTCAGGGGGTTTCCAGCAGGCCACCTCGTCAGACCCATCGGGGCACTGGTGGGCTCCATCACAGCGGTATTTCCCCTCTATGCACCTGCTCCCATCCAGACACTGGAAGACCCCTGCAGTGGAAAGGACAGATGCTAGCACCCCTCATAAAAGGTTCAAAATTAGGTTAACTTACTCTTCTTGGAGTTCGAGGTGTAACTCTCAAATCTATTTTATCTGAGTTTTAAAATTTAGTGGATCCACATGCAAGCTCTAATGATATGCTTGGGTCAAACAAGTTAGCAACCTTGCATTTAAAGAAGGCCTTGTTTGTTTCATCACTTTGATACCGTTAGACCACTACCAACTCTTGCACATGGACCACTTAGGGCACAGTACGGCCCAGCCTATATAAAAGCAAATATAGCACTGCTTAGCAGATTTGAGGCAGCAAGGGGGGAGTAGTCAAGCACATGGCTTAAGCCTCAGGAGCAGAGGTTTCGGCACTATGCTAAAGATTTATATCTTTAGGCACTCAGATGATGGCTTTCATCTATCTAACCTGTCTAGGAAAAGCTGGTATGATTAGAATTAAGGAAACACTGTCAGAGGTCATACTATACTCTCTGAGCTTAGTGGTATAACTGGCACAGAAGACTGAAGACAGGGAAGATGACAGACCTGGTCTGTGGCAGGTCTGGAAGCAGTTCTCCTCATCCGAGCCATCCAGACAGTCCTGCTCCCCATCGCAAAGGGACTCTGGGGAGACGCACTTCTTCCCTTCACGACAGGGCACAGAGGATCCAGTGCAGAGCAGAGGTGGAGCAGGAAGGGCAGCGGGGGCCGCTGTTTCAGCCTTGGGATCTAGAGCAAATCGGTGTCTCAGCGAGTCAGTCCACGTGGTCCTGGGGGAGGGGGAGCCGAGCCTACCCTGCCTTCCTCTGAAACGCTGTGTGTGGTGGAGGACCAACATTTCTCTACCTCGTAGAAAGAATGCTGAAATTGATTCAAAGTTTATATCTTGAGATTGAGTGTACTTCATAATTTGGGAAGATTGGTCTCTCTTTATGAACTATGAACTTTAATCTTAATTTTCTTCACTGTCTTATGTTCTGTTCCAGTCTAGGAAATAAAAAGTACAGCCATCCACTGCAGAACAGTGTTTTGGTCAAGAATAGACTGTACAAATGAAAGTAGTGCCATCAGATTACAAGAGCTGAAATTTTTTATCACCTGGTGATGCTATTGGTATCAATATTGAGTACAGCAAATTAGTCATGTGTTTGTGGTAACACTGGTGTAAATAAGCCTACTGTGTTCTCTGTCATATGGAAGTACAGTATGTACAATTATGTACAGTAAAGATTTATGCCAGGTTCATATAAGTGTATTTGTGATGCGGTCCCTTCACAATGCATTTATCAGAATGTGTTCCTATCACTGTGACACATGACTGTCCTTCAGGTTTCCTGCTAGAGCATCCAGTGGTCTAGGACCAAGGCCAGCATACAATAGGCACTTACTTGTTGAAATGCATAAATTACACTGATAAAGTTATCAATTAGAATTCCTCAGCACCTATGGTAGCAACTGAAGAGATGTGTTAGACTAGCTAAAATTGTTACAGAAAAGTTCATTTCATTTGCAAACTTCATTTGCATATAAGAAATAGGGCTTCATGCCTGCTGTTTCTTTGCCTTCCAGGTCAGGTTAAACCAACCAGTGAGTTACAAAGTAAGGTAGCACAGACAGAAAAGGGAAATAAGCAGACAGTTCGGGAACAGAGACATCGCAGGAACGGTTCTGTCCTCTTATTCCTGCTCCTTCGTGGGACATCCAGCTGTTTCTGCCGTTGAGGACCCAATGAAACTTATGATATGAATTTGTTTTTCTGTCTCGTGATTCAGGAGCAGAGGCTTCGGCACTATGTTAAAGATTTATATAGAAAAAAATAAAGGTAATCTACCTTTAAGCAGATTTATCTGAAAAATCCTGGCACAACTTCAAAAAGGAAGAGTGCTGATCTTCATGGTACAGGATGTGCATCCTTAATCCAAAAATCAGAATGCTAAATGCTCCAACATCTAAAATTATCTGAGTATCAATGTGATGGCATAAGTCAAAAATTCTGCACCTGACCTCGTGTGACACAACTCATGGTCAAAATGTAGGAGCACAAAACATATTGTATAGAGTAACCTTCAGGCTATGTGCTTATGGAGCATGTGAAACATAAATAAATTGCATGCTTGAACCTGGGTCTTACCCCCAGGGTAGCTCATTATGCATATGCAAATATATATATTCCAAAATGTTTCAAAATCTGAAACACTCATCCCAAGTATTTCAGATAAGAGACATGTAACCTGTGAAATGTTATTTGCTATGCATTCCACAGGGAGGCGGGGTAAATGATTCTTTGGTAAATTAGTGTGGGAAGCTGGTTAGGTGCAAATTAAATGGATTTCTTTACTGGCAGATGAAAAACCATGAATATGCTAATGTTCAAGATGATTTCCAAAAGGAAATGGTGTGTAAACTTCTTTGAATAATGGTGAGAGACACGTATCGTTAACAACTTTGAGAAATGTCTTATACCTTTATATTTCCAGAATATAGAAAAGTTAAGGACCTGACGTACTAAATTCTGACTTGGGACACCTGCCACACATACAATACAGTGCTCAGGATTTTATTGGAGGAAGGCAGGTAAGGTGTGTATCAAAGAAGAGCCTGACAAAGGAAGACTCGCCTGGCACTTTCTGGTTCTCCGCCAAGATGATCACTTTCCTTATGTGTGGCTCCTTCAGCACTGAGAAGGGTTCCAGAGTCTTCCTGTTCCAAAGCATGAGAGCTGTCTTGTCCACGGTCACCAGGTAGGGTGTGTGGGCTGCTATGAGCCCATCACTCCAGGATTTGTTCAAAGAGTAAGTTCTGTTTTTTAGGAGACTGAGACTTTGCAACCCTAAGGAAGAGTAGAAGTTTTAGAAGATGAGCTAAACAAGTGATCTGTGACAGGTAAGGTGAACAGTGAGAGGGGATTATTTGATTGAGGTCCAAAGACTCAAAACTAAACCAAAGCTCATAGTGTTCCTATCAAATTTTGTAGCTTTTAATTTTACATGGAAAGACAGACCAGTAATATATCTCAAGCTCCCAAACAGCAAAGGATTATGGTCTGCCTTGAGGACAAATGAGAGATGACTTTACTGCCTTACTATTTTTCATATATATGAAACATATCCAGTTATTAGCATCTCTCTGCTGGTCCTCAAGGATGGCCTCTGCATGATACAATGCTCAAAATCAGCTATGAAGGAATGACTCGCATCTGACATCACATTATCTCTCCTTTCCAATGGCAGTTGGGTTCCATTACTTCTATGTATAGAAGCAGAAATAAATTCCAAACATGAGAAAAGCTACTAAGTGTATAAAAAAGCAGTTATATGTATTATTTCTGAGGTTTTCTATCTTTTAAATCCTTAACATAGACCTTCAGATAAGAGATGAGTTCGAGGTAAGTGACTTGTCCAGGCTTTCACTATTAAAATTAGAGGTAGAGCCAAGCCTAATCAGTTCTTAGAACAACTGGCATAACTAGAAGAGAAGATTTTGAATATTTTCACCATAAAAAATCAAAAGTGGCACATGTTAGATATGATATATTTGCTTATTAGCCTGATTTAGTCATTACACATACCTGGGTCAAAGTATCACAATGTGCTCCATAAATATGTACCATCCATTGTGTGTGGATTAAAAACAAAAAGTTTCTTCAGCACATCCAGAAATAGCAACAATAAAAACAGAAATTTAAAAGAAGGGCTAGAAACATTACACCTTTAAAGACAAGACAAGTTTGGTGTTGCTCATCCCCTACATCTCTTCCCACTGAACTTACCCAGCCCTTTGCTGGTCCAAAGGATGCTAGCTGAGCTGAGGTCTAAGGCCATCTGGATGTCTGCCGTCCAGGAACCGCTCCAGATTGCTTGTCTGTTTTGGCCATCGAGGGTCATACTTTGTAGGTGGCTGCTACTCTCCACCCAGTACAGTGTCCTCCGCGGCCAGTCGAGAAGCAGCTGCAGTATAATGCCTCCTGTGCGATACAGCGATTCAGTGTCTCTGTCAGGAATTGTGGTCTTCTGAATGGCACTGCGGTCACAGGGTAGCCAGTACACATTCCCTGTCGGTATGTCCACGTTTGCTGAGCAGACTGAGGAGGAAAAGTAACTGTATTATACAAAGAGCTTTCAAGTACATTCAGGAACTGACTCAAACTTTGGACCTCGGAAACAAGGGAAATGGGCAAGTGTCAGTCAAGATTTTAAAAATCTGTCCCTCACAAGCCAACAGTTCTCTTTCACATCATAAGCCTCACTGGGCCAACTGTGGCTCTGGGCACTGGTTATAGGACCTCATTTGATGCTTTCAGCAACTTGACAAAGGAAGCATTCATTCTCTGCATTTGGCAGATTAGATATCCAATGGCAAAGCCTGTGTCTGAGTGCAGATCTCTAAGTTCAGATTCAATTCTTTTTTCTACTAGGATCTGAGCTATTCTAGAATACAGTCTAGCCAACATCAGGCTAGCAAGCCAGCAGCCTTTTACAAAACCCTATTCTACACGAGTTAGTGGTTAACTTCTGTGCCTCACTTTTCTTAAAAGTATGATAGCGATAGTGCTTCTTTTCTAAAGTTGCTGTGAGAGTTACAGTTACAACATATAGCATGTGAGGGTGGCATCTGTTGTGGAGTACTGCAGTTTACTGGCATGAGCTCACAACTGGTAGTTGTTAAATTCAAGAGTCTTTTAGGCTGATTAGTCCATGTAAAATTTAACTGTTATGTTAATTTATTAAAAGTAATAAATATTTAACCCATTGCATCTTATTTTCCTACATTTTGATATTTGAATATTCTTTATCTAATGTTTGGGAATAGATACGGCTTGGATTTTGGATTTTAGAAAATTTTACATACATATCTTTGTGTAATATATGTAAATATCTACAAGATACACATACAATAATTAAATCGCTTAAAATAACAATGTAGAAATTTACAATAAAAACATCATAGCTTTTCTTTATGTAAATATCTATTTACATATGTGTTACATATAAATTTTCATATATATATAGAGAGAGAGACATAAAGGGGGGTCCTGGGGGAGGGGACCCAAATCTAACCATGAAATTCCTTGTGCCTTATATACATTGTACACATACAGCCTGAAAGCAATTGTTATACAAGTTTCAGTGCACCTGTACTCTGACTTCACTCACCACATGCTGTCAGGTATGAGATTTTTTTACTTACTACATCATATAGGCAGGTACTCAAACATTTTTGGTTTTCATGGCACTTTCAATTTCAGGTTTTTGGATTAGAGATACAGCCCAACCTGTATCTCTATTGTTTATTTATATCAACTGTATTCATATGTTAGAGATGCTGTATAAAGTTTTGCACCATATATCACTTCTCAACTCTGTATTCAACAATGCTGTATTGTAGATCAAAATCTGTCATTGTGGGAGTATTTACACCATGAAAACTTTAAACACTATAAGTCAGGGCTTTCTTTTTCTTAAATTTTGCATCATAGAAAAAGGATAGAAAAAAAACTTTGTCCTTGAGGTAAATCTGGGCCAGATGCCTTTTCCTCTGGGCAGCTTTTAGTGGAATGTAGCCAATCAATCACATGTTATGGTCACTTTCATGGCACAATGGTAGAGTGCCAACCAAGTCTAAAATAGTCACTGTCTGGTGTTTTACACAAAAATTTGCCAATTCATCATTGTCTAGATTTAAGAAAATGACAAAGTATTAATAATTCAGATTACTTTTATGCATGTCATATTTATAGCCATTTTACTGTAAATGCCACAACAAAATTTGAGCTATTTTTCTGTTACTTGAATTTTATTATTTAGCTTAGTAAAGAAGTTATGCTGTTGATGAATTAATTCTAGTGTCTTCACTGCTTCGCTTTTGTCTCTTTTCCTTTTGGAAACAAAAGTAAGAACCTACATTTGAGTTAAATCTATTCTCAACAATGTCTTTACATAATCAGATATTATGCAAGGATTTATTTAGAGATTGTTAAATTGAGCTTGAATTGCAACCATAGATTGGCTTCCAATCCAAGAATTCAATATAAAAAGCATCCTGTGAAAATCAGTTAAAATAACAATGCAGAAATTCACAATAAAGAACATCTTGGCTTTTCTTTATTAGTAGATTGTATGTTATACACGCTGTATAACAATAAACTTTATTGTAGACATACTTTGGCATATACATGCACACTTCCCGCCCCCAGAAAGCGAGTCGGTTAGCCTTTTCTAGTACATCCTTCAGTATTATTGTAATAGCTCAAATGTTACAATATGAGGAAAGTAAACAAAGAGGCAAAGTGTAAAGCGGGACAGGGGTGCGAACAGCAATCCCAGAACACACAGGGCTTAACTTAACGTGCTCTAAATTCTCCCTGATGATGGGGTGTTAGGACTGGATTGTCTCTGGATTAGTCCTCACATTCTCATGAGAGGGAACTTCCATAAAATTACATTTCAGAATTCTCCCAACGGATGTACTACTCCTTCCCAAGAGAACAGAAATGCCTTGATGTTGGTGAGTTAAAATGGACAGTTGAGCCATCCATGTTAAGCTCTTGGCCTCTCCTGTGTCAGGCTCTTCCAACTACGGAGAATGAGTGCTCAGCTCTGGAATTATCGAGTTAGCTTTGGCCTTGTACAGAGTTGAGGTTGAAAGCTCAATTGCCAGGGTCACAGAATGTTCTCTGAGCCACGCTGCATTGCTTCCTACAGACAGACTAATCTTTCTAAGACAGAATGTTGAGGCCCTCCCATTTCTGAATAGGAATTTCACTTATGTTTTTTAGCTTCAGATTTTCATATGAGGACAAGATTAATGCAACCAAGAGAAAACCACTGACATCAATACATTTTGATATAAAAATAAGGTGAAAGCTACAAGTTCATGAGCTGTAAGGAAATCATGCGCTCTGGAAATAGGTCTAGATTGCAGAGTTGATACTACAATTAATGCATATAAAAGGTTAGATGCCTTTGTCCAGGATTTAGCCATTGCTAGAGTTTGGATCTCGAATAGCTCCCAAAGGCTCATGTGTCAAGGTTTGGTCCTCAGTTTAGCACTACTGGGAGGTGGTGCAATATTACATGCAGGGCTTAGAGAAAGGTCTTTAGGTCACTGCGGGTGTGCCCTTGAAGGGGATCCTGAGACTCTGGCCTCTTCCTCCTTTCTCTTTTGCTCCTGAGCCCTAAAGTAAGAGTTTTGCTCTGCTGTTTATTCCTATCCTTGCCATTCAGCTCTCCCACCAGAGACCCAAGAGCAAAGAATCCACCAGAACGAAACCTCTAAAACTCTGAGCCAAAATAAAGCCTTTTTTCATTTACTTATTTAACTTTTCTTTATATGCTGATTATCTCAGATATATGTTGTACTCATAAAAAATTGACTATCATAGACACAGCATCTCCATATATCATACAAGAGCCAGCTCAGATGAAAATGTCAGTTTTCTGTAATCTTTAATATAGCAGTTGTGATACAGAAACCAATTAATCAGATAGCACACTGGGAGCAGGCAGCATTTAATTAAGTGGGAAGATATTCATGTGAGGGGTTCCCTAAGCAGAGATCAGATACCTGAAAAGATCACTGCCCATTTTAGTTTCTCTTAATTGTTTCCTAAATCAAGTATTAGAAATTTCAATGTGCCACATTGGGCTGGGCACAGGACACTGGCTGCATGACATTACCCTGAAGGACATCCCAGAGGCATGTTAATGCAGCACTTGCAGGAAAGCCTATGGTTGGTGTTTGGCACAGCACCCAGGGTACAGATATGCAGAAAACTAACTACTCACCCCTAACTCATTTCAGTTCTCTTTTAAAAAGTAGCTGTTTACATTAAGCTGGAGTATAGGAAACTTGAAAGCGGGTGTGGCATTTAGGAGTGTGGGAGGGGAGAGAAAGTATACATTACAATATTAAAATATCTTGCTGGTTCTCCAAATCTGAATTGCAAATTACTTTTAAATTAGCTTAGAAGAAATCTGCAATGCAAAGCTGAGGAATAAAAGCAGCCCCATTTCTATCCTCCCCTGACTTAAAGCCAGAAAAGTAAAAACTTTAAAACCTTCCTCCTACACCTCTAGGGTTTCCCATACCATGGTAGCCTTCTGATGTTCTGTACACATCTCCTAAAAATAATGGTAAATCAGAGATATCTAATACTTAAATTAGGTATGATCACTCTCTGGCATGAAGATTGATTTAGATGAGCTAAGGGTTAGATTTTTTGGATCACAGTTATTTAGAACCAGAAAATAAAAGAGAGAATAACAGAGCTAAAAGAAATGGTCTTCCCAAATTACCTGTATGCTGTGTCCGAATCTCTTGCTTTTGTCCTGAATACCCGGTGGAGTAGACCAGGTGTCCCTGTGCATTCGTCCAATAGATGAAGTTCCTTTTCCAGTCAATATCCAACAAATAGATGTTTCCAGGGTGCTCTTGAATTAGAGTTCTCTCTATAGCACTTCCCATAGATCCTACTTTGAGCAAGTACAGACGTTTTCCAGAAGAAATCACAAGTTTTAACTCTAGAAAGGAACAAGAGATTTTCCATGTGATCATTTGTCCAGTAAGCTCACATTCCCTTCTTACACAGTGCATCCCAGGCTGAGGTACCCATAGAAAGGGGACATAGGACTTTGCGCCTGAGACACATGAACAATATGTGTGCTGCTGCTTCTAGAGAAATGAGTGGTGTGGACAAAAGCAGTGCCGCTTAGCTTCCCCAAAGAACTGGGTCTCTTGAGTTCCTGCTGAAAGGCTAAGGCACAACCACAAGATGAGGATGGTGCACAGCTCTGCTTGATTAAACAATGCCTTATTACTAAGGAGGTCTAGATGCTTCCAAATAGTTACAGAAATCACTCAGGTATTTGAGCTTAACTGTGCACAACATTTAGGCCTTACAATAAAATTTAGGCTGATGAGTTTGCCACTACAATTTATTACACCATGATTTTATTCAGTTACCCTGTGAATGGCATTTTTTAAAGGCTCTTAGAATATAAACACATTTTTAAAATTTATTTTTCTTAACGTGTTGGTGTTTTATAGGAAAAGTCAATTGATTTGGATAGAGATGTTCAATGGCTTATAGGCCCTATAATATTTTGAAGATGAAATAGCAACATAGAGAAATTATGCTAACAATATTGAAGTAAACCAAAATTGAAATAGAGACTGCTTAGAAACATTTCAGAATACACAGCAGTCATTAAGAGCAGAGGATGCATTGCTTTACTAACTTATTTGCAAGTTTTTCATTTAAAACTGAATGGCATAAACTATGTTTTCTGCTTTAAAACTTTGAAGCCCAATTTCCAGCAAGAAGTGAATACATAAAGTATGGTATCTGCATATAAGGGGATATCATTCAGTCTTAAAAATTAAGGAAATCTGACACATGCTACAACACAGATGAATCTCAAAGACCTCATGCTAAATGAAATAGTACAGATCTAAGGGCGCATATCATGACTCCACTAAATGTGGTACCCACAATGTACACATACGTAAAGACAAAAGATAGGATGGCAGTTGGCAGGATTAGAGGGAGAAGAGAATGAGGGATTAATGTTTAATGGAAAAAGAGTTTCAGTTTGGGAAGACGAAAAGTTCTGGAGATGGATGGTGGTGCAGGTTGTGCAAAATTCTGTGTGTCATTAACGCTACTGTACACTTAAAACTGGATAAATGCTACATTTTCTGAATGAATCAAGACAGTTTTGTAACAAAATCAGTCATCAGAATAGGTTAGCAGCACAATGGTGACTGATTCTGAAATGGGAAACTGCAGAATTTTTGGAGAACCCAGGGAACATGACCGCTTGAGCCAACCCCGTTTCACATGGGCACTTACCACTGCATATACCAGAAGGTAAAAGAAACATTCCCTCTGGGCAGACACACTTATAGCCCTTGGGATGAACAGGAGACAGGAGGCACAAGTGGCTGCAAACACCTGGAACACAAGCTGGGTGTCTACCTGATTTTAAAAAGAAACAAATTAAACACAGTTTCAGATTTACTTACCCATACTAGTTCAAAACTTAATATGAAGAAGAATTAAGCTATTTTTACCTGAAAATGAATGTGAATATACCTATTACCCTCTAGTTAGGTATGCTGATTTTTGAGCTCCGTGGTCTCCTAACTGTATTTTGGACAGAGACAATTACTTATCAATCTTAGGCTAAGACCAATAAAACTTCAACCAATAGCATCTTCTCCCTTGGAGTTAAGTGAACATGACAATTGCATTTGCTTTTTGGAAGCCTTTCTTAGAGTAGTCTAGGTTTTCTCCTTTGGTTGGTTTTTCATACTCATTTAAGAAGTACTATCTCAGCCAAGCATGGGAGTTGGTATGCCTGTAATCCCAGCACTTGGCGGACTGAGGCAGGAGGATTACCACCAGTTTGAGGCTAGCCTGGGTCACATAGTGATTCCAGGCCAGCCTGAACTACATAGAGAGACACTGTCTCAGAAAGAAAGAAACAAAAGAAAAAATAAAGAAAGAAGAAAGGAAGAAGAGAGAGAGAGAGAGAGAGAGAGAGAGAGAGAGAGAGAGAGAGAAAGAAAGGAAGGAAGCAGTATTATTTGAGTTGAACCTTACCTAAAATTTAAGACTAACAACAGCAATTACCTGCCCACCAGTGGGCTTTTGATTTCCTTCTATGAACAGGACACTGGGCTTTATTCCTTTCCTGTTACCGTTTGACATGCCAATGAATGAGCTGGCCCAGCCCCTCCGTGAAAGCTTATTATCCTATATTTTCTGCACTTCAGGCCTTAAAAATCCGGCTGATGCTTTGAACAAGCTTAAAGCACACACTTTGGAATAAGTTTCTTGAGACTGCTTGTGTTCAGTTCATCTTACTTAGCAGGCTTAAGTAAGTCTGGAAAAATACCTAGAACATTTCCCTGCAAGTTCCAACCCCACATTGAGGTAGCACCTCTGGCAGCCTCGGGTCAGTGTGCACTCTGGTTCACCAGCATTCAAAAGCGAGCCGTTCATGTCTCTGAAATGGGTACTACAGAACTTTCGGAGTACCAGGGAACATGCCCCTAGAGCCAAGCCCCTCTTACCTGGGGGACTTAGAACTCTAGGTACCAGGAGGTAAAAGAAAATCCCCACTGGATCAAGACAGTCTTCTACTTACTCTGAGGCTGCATGGACCTGTGGAGGACTGAGAACGCAGATATGGACGCGTCCAGCAGCACTCTTCTCTCCCCTGGGCTGTCCCGTGAGGTGTGAAACAGCTGCGTTTTACTTGCCCAGAAGAACGAGTTCTCAAACACAGCCAGTCCTGTGGGCTCCTCATCTTGTAAGTTCCTCGGGAAGCTATACCGCCCGCTGCCATCCACCTTCACTGTCTCTATGGACTGAGGGGTTAGAGGCCTGTGAGAGCACGCTGCAGTGATGGTGGTAACATCACCTTAGTCACTTGGACACTGATTCAGTATCTCTATGTGCATCAGTGTGTCTCATAGAGACTCTGTGAAGTGATGGAGATCTTAGGAGTCAAGGAGGTGGATGTATAAGCAAGCGTACAGATAGCTTCCAGAACAAACTGGGATCCCAGATGTATTATTCGAGTAGTTTAAGTTATGGTCCACCTGCAGGCCAAATCCCTTTGCTCATTCTCCAGCTACCTTAGGAGGTATGTATTCTATCTTTTTTGTTTTTCAGAAAGGGCAATGAGTACTTAAAGTGCACCATAGTTAGCCAAAATCACAACTAGGAAATAATAGGCCTGATAACATGACTCACAGCCTGTGCCTTAAGCAATTATATCATACTGGTCCTTTATTTTGGCATTTCCAAAAATAGGATACCATGGCCTGTGATACAAAGACATAGGAATTTGAGTGTAAATACCTAAGTAAATATGCTTTCAAAGAGTAACCAGTGATCTTAAAAGATTTTGTAGCCTTGGTACAACATAGAATATGATCTACACTATCAAAAGACTTCAACACTGTTAGACCACAGACTGATTAAAATCATCACATCGAGTCTCCCTGCCCAAGTGGGTGCAGTCTGCTTTCCCCAAAGATGCTATGCAGTTGTCTCTGAACTTTCTGTTTCCATGGACAAAAGGTACTTCTCAGCATTGAAGTGAGACTTAACTACCTATAGAGTCATACCAAGCTCCTACCCAAAGAGTTTACCTTTTCCTCTGGGCCCATGTATGGTACCTGCTTGTATCCACTGATCCAGAAGAGCCTGCCAGTCATGTGGTCCAGTGTCAGTCCTAAAGGCTGCTGGGTGGTTACCACCTCAAGCACCTTCCTGTCAGAGCCATCCATCCCTGCAGTTTCAATTGTCCTTCTGCCTCTGTCACCTCCATTGACCCAGTACAGGTACCTGCAGAGAGCATAAGCACAAGGCCCCTCACTGCACGCAGGTGTGTGTTACTCTCAATCACCCGTTCCCTTTAACACTCTCATATGGGCCTCGAACCATGGCACTGCCTATGATACTGGAGATTCCTGTCCCAACACTTTGCACTTTGAAAAATTTCGCTCTGTAAAATTCAGTTTAGGATTCAAAATAAAGAAAGTGAGTGAACAAATGAAATCTAGATTAAAATAGGCTGACATGCTTTCATATTAGTGTAAATGGAATCTGATGTTGGAAAAATAAAAGGAGGTGGGGGGAGGGGAAAAAAGAACTGAAAGGGGTTTTGTGGATGTACCAACTCTCCACAGTGAATGTAATCATTATGTACTGCAAACAGGCACTAATACAAATTTAAAAAACAAAAAAGCCCAGTAAATTTGATACACTCCAAAAAAATATAACTTACTTCTTCACAGGAAACACTACAAGCTGCTCCGGCATGACATCTTTCTCCAAAATTTTGACGTAGCCTCTACCATCACTTAAGCCAGCACAGATGGCCCTTGCAAAGCTGCTAGCCCAATACAGCTGTCCGGTGATCCAGTCCAAAGAGATACTGTTCACTGTCGTAAGTTCTGGGAACACAGGAGACTGCATCATATCTCTGCATTGACTGTGCCTATGTCACCGTGAGAACAAGGACTTGGACACTTTTTCTACAACTTTCCATGTCAAGCTGTATAGTGAGACAAACAGAACCCAAGGAATAAGGCTTCCCATGTGCTGGGCTGACTCCAGGGTTCTGAGGCTGCAGGGGAAAGGAGGGCTTGAGAAAAAGGGTAACCAAAGGACCCATGAGTAGGTGACCTTACTTTAGACAATGGTCACTGAAAGTCTCCGAGGAACTGCGAAAGACGCTGTTCCTGAATTGCCACCAGAGCACATGTTTCATTCCTAGCACCATGCGAGTCTCTTCTTCATGAGCACGCTCAGGTTTAACCCCCACACTTGCCCCGTGAGACACATACTAGCACCTACATCCTATAGAAGACAGGTGAGAGGGGTTAAGAACTTGCCTGAAGTCACATTATCTTGTGCCGGGGCTGAGACTGATGGTTACCAGAGGTTCTATCCTAAGACCTTTCATACTACTTAGTAACAGCAATTTCATGTCTCAAGTTATGCTCTCCAATGCTCCTACAGAGCCAAACGAACACAGTCTTATGTCAAATTGGGATTTAATCTCTTATGCCTCATGACAAGTGAGTCACAGGAAGTGGTCCACACAGACACACATGCTTCCTATGCTATGTTAAAGTTGAGTGCTATTTGGATACGGGATGTCCCCCACAGTCACCTGTCACAGACTTGACCTCAGCCTATGTTTCTATCAGAAAATAGTAGATAATAGTAGGGGCTCAGTGGGGTGTTAGGTCATGGGGGAATCCTTTGAAGGGGACTGTGGATCACTGGTTTGTTTCTCCCTGCGCTTTCCAGCTGCTAGCAACTGAGCAGCTTCCTCCACCTCACACTCTGTCATCATATCTTGCCTTGCTACAGGCTCCAAACAACAGGGCTGATCAAATGTAGACTGAAACCTTCAGCAGTGAAAATCAAAATAAGAGCCTCTTCTTTTTTAGTTATCTCAGGTACTTTTGTTACAGTAATGTAAAGCTGACTAACACAAGCAGCTTTGAAAACCATGGCTCTTAGTGCCTGCCAAATATACCTGGGTAGAGGAGAACAGAGTTTGGCTTCCCAGAGACAAACACGTTTAGGGTCTTATCCACCCAGAAGTACATGCTTCTTTCCAAGTCATATGCCACAGAACCAGGTCTTGTTTTTACAGGTATCACACTCTCGTAGATGCCTGTTCTTTGATCCAGGACACCAAGTGCTTGATCTGCTGCTATCAGAATCTTAACATCACCATCTGCAATAAAAGCAAAGGGCTGGCACACTGTTCTCAAGCTTTCCTTCATACATTTTCCCCTTTAGCTAAAGGCACTGTTTCGTCTCCCTGCCCAAACCTGCTTATCCTCAGTGTCTGGAGGAAGTGAACTCAGAGAAGCGCTGGTTGACCACCGTAGTTCTCTCTCTTTCAACTGACATATAACACAATCGATTAATCTTTGAAAATGTGCTGCTTTATTTTGATTCACTGTTCACAAGACAGATGTGCCTTTACATGCCTAATATAACAGCAGCTAAAAGCAAGCGAGTGTTCCAATCGCAGAAAAGAAAAGAAAAGAGAAAAGAAAAGCACAAGCCAAATTGGGACTATGTTGGTTAGGACTCTGGAATATCTAGTTCTGTATCCTACAGAGTAGCTAAACTATTTAACAAAAGCTTAACACTGCTGATGCTCAGATGGGGCTATGAATGTTATAACAGCAGCTTCTTTATGGAAAGAATAGAGTCATCTCTAGTATTAGGCTTTAAAATGAATCATCTATGTCACTTTTCTTTAACTTGCTGCTAACCAAAGTGGGAGTTAGGCTCTGCTTCATGTCAGAAACTCACCTGTCACGCGACATTTGCTGCCATTGTAAAGCTTGTAGCCTTGAACACAGTCACAGGAGTAAGAGCCAGGCGTATTGTGACATAGCTGGTCACAAGGACCATATGCCATGGAACACTCATCTACATCTGATAACAGAGATTATGAGTTAGAGGCAGTCCAGGAACAATCCCCTTTGTATTTTTGTCTTTTCAAGACATTTTTCCACTGTTATTCCAATAGATTTATGTGGAAATCATTGTGCCAGATGCTGGACTAGGCCATCCCGGTTGCCATAGAATTTCAGTTCACATATGTAACTTAGCAAAAGTTTCAAGAAGGACCCCAGATGTTTAGCAGGTATGGAATACTGATCAATGGTATCCTAGCAGCATTCCGGGGAGGTACCACCTGCCAACATGCAGGGTCTCTTTCAGAGTTCTCTATCATGGGAATATAGAAAAGGCACAAGTCTCACGTGTCTAACTGCCATAATTAAGCTAAAATACAAACATTTCTCAAAGCCTCAGGGCAGAGATCTGGTATGAGTCATAAAACTAAGACAAATTGATTGATTGACTGATTGAGCAGGAAGGAATATGGTTTACTGGCTGCACTCCTGAGGGTGCCTCATTCCTCCTAATTCACAGGGCCTTATACAGCAGTAATGCCCTCCCATCCCAGGAGACAACTGATGAATAACTGGTTACAGTCAACTCAGTGACCAGCCGAGTCTTGCAATGGGTCAGAAACCTAAGAAGGACACTGCAGCTGAGCTTGAAAATGTGCCAAATCAGACTCTTCTAAGGGTCATGACCATGTACTGACTTCATACTTTCAATAAAGAATACATGTAACAAGCTAAGTTATTGATTTTATTTAATTAGTAAAATTTATTATTTAAATTTAATCAGGATAATAAAATTTAAATATAAGAAGCTTATAACAACTATTGATGAATTCATAACACCAAACTCTTATGGGACATAATTTCAATGCTAACTAACAATCAATATCTTTTTTCTTTTTTTTTTTTTGGTACCGGGGATCAAACTCACTATGCACTTGCAAGGCAGGTGCTAAATCCATGCTAATCGGTGGCCCAGTATCTTTTTTTCTTATATCTTTTTTGAGTGGGGAGTGTAACAGATAATGAGCCAAGGAGCAGAGCAAAGCATTATCAAGTAGAAATTCCTGACAAGGCTCATGGCTACCTACCCTTTAAGCCGGGGTCTACTCCTTCTCATCCCATTTCAACCTGAAATACAATCCTGTGTTGTTTGTAGGTAAGTATTATAGTGTAACAGCCGTAACTTTTTCAAATTATTACTGAAGAGCAAAACCATGTGAAATTTAGTTTAGCCATTCTGGCAGCTTAATCTCACTTGACAAACGGTAGACATGAGATTTGAAGGATCAAGTGACTTGGAGAAGGTCAGGAAGTAGGAACAGGCAAGGATAAATATACAACGGGCCACATTAGAGCCAGTCCTGCCACCCTGCTAAGGACCACAGGCATAGCCGTGAAGAGACAATTGTATTTATTCCATGACGGAAAGATTTTACATTCCATAAAAAAAAGATGCTCAACTTCACATTTTCGCATTAGGCAATAGTTGACCTGAAATTCCCACAAAAGAGGACGATAAAAGCATCAGCAAAGGTGTGGAGAAATAATAAATAGTGCAATAAATTCTGTTTTGCTTGCTTCTCAAAAAGTTAAATATAGAATTGCTACATGACCCAGCAATTCCAAAATTGATAGGAGGATTTTAAACAGATATTTTTACACCAATGTTCACAGCAGTATTATGAACAACAGCTAAAAGTCTGTCTAACAACAGATACCACAGGTAAACAAAATGCAGTATTTACACGCAATAGAGTTATTCAGCCTTAGCAGCAATAAAGTAAGAAGCGTTGAAGGCAAAGGAAGAGGTTGCACATTATGAGTGGACCTTAATCCAATGAATGGCGCACCTGAAATGGCTATACTGAGAAACTCAGGTTACACGTGTACCACCACAATGAAAATGTTTTTAAAAAGCGAGTCCAGTGCGTTCTGACCTGCACAGCTCCTCCCATCAGGCTGCAGCTGCCACCCTGACCCGCAGGAGCACCGGGCACCCCAGGCTGTGTCACTGCACAGTCCCTCACAGCCCGCGTTCACCACAGAGCAGTTTTTGCCTGGTAGAGACAGAGCAGCGGTCAAAAGAGCTGAACACAGTGGCGACCCGTCGTCTTAAAAGCAAGCATGTGCTAAGTCCCCTCCACACCTATCCCAGGACACAGGACTGCTGATGGTCACCTTGCACCTTCCACCCTGACAGTCAGACCTAGGAATGTGGAGCCATGGGGAGGCCTGGGGAAGAGGGAAATCAAGGAATGCCGGCGGCAGGGAAGCCACATGTCTCTCTGGGGCAAGGGTCTAGAGGATTTCAACTGCTGTGTTTTTGTTGTTCCCCTACAGAGGGAACAGCAGCCTGTGGTCTGTTTTCTCTGGAACGTATAATGACCAGGACCCCTACTTCCAGAATCGATGTACAGACGTGTAAGTCCTGGTGAATTATCTATCTAGGACCAGAAGCCTACACTTCATTCTATTTTTATGTTTTCACATGTCTCATTTGTTTTCCTTGACTACAATGATTCACTGAAACCTTTAGCAGTACTAAAGAGGTTTCATCATGCACATGTAAAATCAGATTTGGGAAGAAATTAGGAGAGAGATGACAATCAACTTGAGGAAGGATTCTACTCCTCCGGCCCTCCAAATCAGCAATGAATCTGGCAGTGAGAACAAGAAGGGACAGAAAGTCAGGGTGCTGCTCCCTCCTTGCCACAAAAAGTTCTTAGAGTTTTCTGTATTTTGTTTTAAATAAACGATTTGCTTCTCAGTTAGGCATTTGCCAAATGGTTACCTTGGCTTCTATTGGTTTCACAGCTTTCTTTATACTCAATTTGCAAAGTTGTTGAATCATAGAATTGCTCCGCATATAAATTTGAACTTGTTGAATGTACACAAAAAAAATTGTGTGCACGGAGATCTGCAAGGATCCCTACAGCAGAATCTTTGAATCAGTCTGATTTGAGCAGTACTGCTATGGATGGTTAAGCCTAAACGGAAAGTATGACTCTTCCTTTGACAATGATAAACACACATCCCTGGGTTGATATGAAAATCACAAAAGCAATATAGTGTTTAGCTAGCATGTCTCTCTAATGCTACAGAATGAGATTAGCCTACCAGGTTCACAGCTTAACTATTTTCTTCACACCCAAAAGACCAAAGCCAGGGTCTAGAAATCATACAGTGTAACGAGACTATCCCTGAAAGATAATCACTAATACACGAGCTGTAATGCAAGCGTCCTCTTAGGGAATACAGCTCTGTGGTAACTAAAGCATTGAGCTGCTTCATCTTACTTTCCCACCTCCCACCTTAAGCCAAGCTAGCGGTTTCTTACCACACGTGGCGGGTTCATCACTACCATCTGCACAGTCTGCCTCCCCATCACACATGGAAGCCTCGCGGACGCACTTCCTTTCATCACATCTCACTGTGCCTTCTGGGCAGAAAGCTGCGTAGGAAGGCAGGCATGCTTTTCAGTGACACTTGTGTGGCGGGGAAGAAGTAGACAACATTTTGAACGGGTAGAGAGGTAATATTTCTATAACCTATTGCAATTCAAAGCAGGAAAGTAAGTTATATTTTTCAAACAGGTTATTTTAGAGAATTAGGACTTGGGATTTGATCATGAAAACATCCAAGACACCTGGGCTATGAACTGAAACAGTGGTCAAACTGATCGGTCTAGAATCAAGCAGTTGTAGTTGAAGTAGTATTACAGTCAGTCACCATTTGACCTTGAAAGTATTCACTTAAGAAGCTAGTTTTCACCGTATTGTAAAGATGTAGGCTCTAAATTCATTAGATACTGCATATTTAAGAAAGATGAAATGGGGCTGATTCACCAGGAAGGCTGAGAAACCACTATATGGGTTATATAGAGAAATGTAGCCTTCGCTGAGTCATTTGGTGGGGGAGATTCTCCTTTATGAGGAATTGTCCCCTTCTGTATTTCACTACACAAAGGTGGCACCATCTATCAGTAGACTTCCTTTATAGACTTCTTCTCAGTGTTCTATAGACTGACCATAATTAAACAGTGAGAACATTCCGGGCAATGCTGAGAGTACACTTTGAGAGTCTCCATCCAAACACCACCTGACATTTCCATGGATAACTCCATGTGGGCTACTGAGAGGAAATATCCTATTTTAAAATCTAGGAGGGCAGTTTCTGTTGCAGGAAATAAGATGCATCTTGCATAAAGCAACCCCCGTAGTCCAACTTGCCCTTAAAATGCAAGCAGTGCAGTCAGACTCACCGCAGGCTTCCTCATCCGAGGAGTCGCCACAGTGGTCGATACCATCACACTTCCAGCTGTCCATGACACACAGCTTGTTCTGGCACTGCCACTGCCCAGCTAGGCAGTGGCTCTGGGAACAATGTGCTTTGTTGGACCCATCTTCACAGTCCTCATAGACATCACATGGCTCCCAAGCATCCATGCACTGAGATGTCCCTGGACACTGGACTTTTTGGTCTGGACATGCTGTCATTCTCTCTGGAAGGCAGGAGTTGGCACAGTGAGACAGGACTCCTGTACTACAGACCTGCTTTTCCATGTAGGTATTTAGGGTTTGCTTATAGGCTAAGTTTATAGCAAATAGAATTAAAGGGAGACTAACCATTGGAGACTACATTTTTACCCAAAGAAGTCCATAAAGCCAATAATGACACTTATTTGGGGTGACAGTATTTTAAAAACACAGTGAAGTGGGTTATACAAAGTATTTTATAATACTAGATATTATCACTGCAGTATCTGGCTTAGCAAAGATGGCATAAAATCTTTTAATGACTTTGCTTACTGCACTTAATCCTGCTAATACACGTGGCTAATAAACAGAAGGAAGGTGGTGAGACATTATGTATAAGTTATACGTACCACAATTAACCTCATCCGAGCCATCCAAGCAGTCACCGGTACCATCACAAAGCCAGCTGATGGCAACACATGTTCCGTCATCACACTGCCAGGCTTGCAGGTGTCCCCCACATGGTTCCTCTGTAGGCCGGCGGCAGCGTTCAATAGGAAGCAGGGAGGAAGACGAGTTTCTTAGCTTTTCAATTTGGGTTACTTATTATGTATTTTAAATAGCAAAGAAATAATGACTTCCCATTTTGCCCCCCAACTCAACCCTGGACTTGCTTGACCTTTTCAGCTTTCCTCAGGCAGTACTGGACAGCAGCCCCACCTTACCAGAGCATGATCACTCAGAAGCCCAGCAAGGATTATCTTTTTCTCTACTATCCTAGACAATTGTCACCTAGTATATCTTTCCATGACAACCAAAATATTTCACTTGTTTACCTAAAATCAAGCTACTAGTTACATGTGACCATTGAGCACTTTATAAATTTTACTTGAATTTAAAGTATTCTGTCAATAAAAGCAAGTCCCCAAAAGCTGTTGGTCACTACCTTGGCCAGGGTAGTTGTATGGGTTCATTTCTTTGAATCCTTTTGATATCTCAGGCTATATTAACATCTAAGGCAACCTGGGAGCTACTGGGTTTTGTTTTGAATCAATCTGCAAGTATTTCCACCTGACAGAAGCAAGAATGGATGGAAAGCTAGGGTACAATTTACATGGGAATAACAAGTTTATTGCAATATACAATACCGCATGCTTGGGTTTTGTTTTGTTTTGTCATGCTGTTGGGATTGCACCAAGTTCTCAAGCATGCTATATACAAATGCTACCATTAAGGAAACCTCCATCCCCTCACATCTGTCAGTAGTAAGCATTTCATCTTAGAGTGGTAAATGACAGTAAATGACCACTGAAGAATGCATATGTGAAGCAAAGAAAAAGAATGTAGTGTTCACTAGGTACCTGGGATTTTTTTCTCCTTTCATGAGGATTTTTTCTCCCATACACATGATACAAGGATGTGAGTCATCTATAAAGAAGCATACTGTACATATTTGTGCTCAGGTGATCTTTCAGGGCTTTAGGGACTCTGAACACAGAGTACCTGAGCTTCAGCTAAATCGCTGACTGGGCTTTCACTGGATTTGTAATTTCCTTTATGTTCAATTTGTAAAGTGGTTTTTTGGTTGCATGAAATTTCTAAGCAGAAAGTTGATCTACTTGGGTGAATTCAAAAGAAACTGTAGACTCTAGGATCTACAAGGGTTCTCTCTACAAAGGAAACTCTGAGTTAATTAGGCTTGAGTAACAGTCCTAGTTATTAGTCTTAAACTGAAGCCATGGACTTTATGATGACTATAATGCTACCAACATCTGTAGACACATCTCTGGCTCGCCCACTGAGCCTGCAACAGCCCAGAATACTCACCATGTGTTAATAGAACTTTAAAGAGTAAAAGCCATTAGCATGGATGCTGTTAAACAAGTACTGGCTGAGTATCCGTTATCTGAAAGGTGTGGGGCCAGAAGTGTTTCATAGCTCAGATTTTTAAGGAATTTTGGAATATTTGCACATACATGATATCTTGGAGATGGAACCCAAATCTAAACTCAAATTCATGTATGTTCCGGTGCACCTGAGACACACAGCCTGCCGGAAGGTGATTTTAATACATTTATTGCAGCATTGACTGTGACCCATCACATGAAGTCAGGTGTCAATTTTCCATTTGTCACGTGCTATGTTGATGCTCAGAAACTTCTGAATTTTGCGTTTTCAGACTAGAGATGTGTAGAGACACTTGGCAATCAGGGCAAGATGCATGGTTCAGTCTCACAACATGCTTACCACACTGCTCGTCGGTCCCGTCAGCGCACTCTTGCTCGCCATTGCAGAGCCAGGCTACTGGGATGCAGCTGTCCCCACAGGCAGCTTGTCGTGTCACGTTGCACTCTCTTGCACCTGCATTGGATGATGAGAAAGCAGGCTGTGGGAGTTCCTGGCTTTGGGGGGGACAAGACAGCACCTTTGCAGGATAAGAGGCAAGGTTCACTCTGACAGACCTTCCTTCAGTGACTCCTAGGGACCCGTACAGACTCACTAGTGACATTCCTTGGCTTCCTGATGTCACAAAGTTGTGGCTGGGGCCTCATTGTGTGTCTCCCTGTTTTCCTCTCTCAGGGAAGGTACATTCACATTGTTGCTTCAAAAGACATAAGTTTCTGATTTCTTCCAACTTGGTTCGGTCTCAAAGGCTCTGAGTACGAATACTCACAAGTTGAGAAGCTAACGGCAATTGCTGTGCTATGGAAACCTCACAGTGTGTGCCCATCCACCTCATTCACAAGATCTGGCTCTCTGTATCTTCTGGCTCCTCCCCAACGTCAAAGTGACTTAAAGATAAACATTTTGAATGGATTCAGGACCTCAAGGCAGCCAGGAGAGTGCAACTAAAGGTGAAAGAGGACTCCTGAAGCGCTGTGGGAAATGGCAAGAACAAGGGACAAGTGTGTTTGAGAGAAGTGTATTTGAAGCAAGGGGAAATGTTTTGAGAGGAATTAATTAAAATATGCCTTTATCTGTAGTAATTTTAAATGTATATCTATTCACCACACGCTATAATTTCAGCTCATAAAGGAGCACAAAGCTGCCTGACACAGTTCTGGCTCACAAAGCATGACATAAATGCTCACAAAGCATGAACTATTTTTGCCACCTTTTCTAGCAGGTCTTTCTACAAGTTTCCCAATTAGGGTCACAGTCCACCTTCAGAGACAGTCACCATTAGTGGAGTCACAACTGGAACAACATTTTGTCCAGGTGACTTTCAATCTGGCAACCACACATGAACACGGATTCTACATATTATTACAACCTCATTTCAAACTTCAAATTTAGATAAGTGATTGCTGTACAATATGAGAAACTTATTTACATGCGTACACCTTCTCAAAAAGAGTTAACAGTACCATGAACAAAAAAGAAAAATATTTGCAAAAGTTTAAAATGATTTCAACCTTTTCTCTGTTCAGGAGGTAGGGGACACCAGCAGCACTGGTCCCTGGGGACCAGCATTCTTGGAGATGCTTTCCCAAAGGTGAGGCCCCTCCTGTGCCTGGCCAAATCCCCAGCCACATACTTCACTTTTGGGGAACCTCTTGCCTCAGCAGCCCTGGGACCTGCACTAGCAAACCCTGCATGACCAGTACCTGAGTGACAACAGTAAGTGTCCCAAGAAGTGGCTTCTTAACTGTACTTCTGCCCCCTGCGCCCTTTTCTCTAGGGCTGCTTTTGAAGTGAGTCACCACTGCCTTTGAGGTCCTGGCTCTCCCAAAAGACTACATGGCTGCCTATATGACCGAGGACCCTCCGCTGGGCAAGTGAGAGATCAGGGTTTGCAAAGCAGTCTTAGTGGGTTTGAACTTCCAACAAAGAGGAGCTCAGCGGGGAGCAGGGTTGTGCCAGGCCTGGGTAGCCCAGCGGATGGGGCGCCCTTCCCTCCTGCAGGGAGGGCGGTGCAGTGAAGGAAAGACACTCATTCTCCGAACCCCTTTCCCCTCCACCCGCCCGCAAGGCTGGAAAGCACGGAGAGATCCCTCTAGGGCAGCTTCCCCAAAGAGGCTCATCCTTGCCCTCCTGCTCCCAGGGTACCCAGCCACTCAGCAGGGGGGAGCGCACACCTGGGGAGGACGCCGCAGCTCTTCACCGCCTGCCCCACAGCGTCCAGGCGAGCAGTCAGCCGTAGGAAGTTATCCACGAACCCCGCGACCCCTCTCCGCGCCCTGCAGGGCGAAGCACAGCGCGCCCCACTTACCAGCTCCGGAGCCCCTGGCGCTGCCCCAGGGCACCAGCATCAGCCAGAGCAGAAGGAAAGCGCGGCAGAGCATGGCTGGGCAGGGCCCGCGCGGTCTCGCGCGCGCAGGAGAAGCGCAGAGGGCGGAGTGCGCCTGGGGCAAGAAGGACCCAGGGCGAACCCAGGCTTCGGACTCCCAGGGACAAGCCCAGGGAGGATGTGGGCTGGCCAGGGGAAGCCGCGGCGGTCTGTCGTCGGTCTCTCGGTGGCTCCCTAGTGGTGAGGAGAGGCTGGGATTCCGTGTCCCCACCCCTGCGGTGGGACGGCGACGCTCATCTCAGAGACGGGCTTTTGCCTAATTTAGGAGCAAGCAAGGGTGATCAGCGCACTTACATTCACACGGATCACCTGGGATTCTGCTTTTGCGCTCTGGAGCAGGACCCAAGAGTCTTACCCAGGACACTCCTAGCTTAAGCGTCTGTAGCTGTAGCCTTCACTTTAAAATGCAAGGGTTTAGCAAGTCCAAACCTGGATGGGAGCTGTTCTCCTAGACTACTGTCTGCCTCCTGTCTTCTCCGCACCTAGGCAAAATCAAGCCTTGGGTAACCTGGAGTCTATAACAGCTCTAAGGACATGGTCCTCTTGGGAAGGTGATTAACCAACCAAGAGTAACAACAAAAGCCCTGAGCCGTGTCACTCTTCTTTCAAACAACCTGGCACAGACTAGGAGATGAGTTTGATCTATCTACCGTCCCCAGGGGGTTTTAGATTTTCAGGGCCAGAAGAACTCAGAGGTGACCTCACTTGTGCACTGCTGTTTAGGACCAAAATGATGCATAGAGTTGAGTTTGTGACAGATTTTCTCATGGGCATAGCCCACTCTGTCTCTCTAAGCTGTGACATTCCTTTCTTGCCAAGAGAGGTGAATGTCAGTATCTTGGAAGGAATGTGATGAGTTAGAATTTAATATGTTAAAATGGCAAGGAATATTTAGAGTTTTTAGAGGTGAAACAGCTATAAAACACAAGAAAAATAGAAACAGAAAAAATGGACTGCAAAATACTTTCTTCGGTGTTATTTGCATCACTAGAGTCCAACAGATTCCTTTTAAAACCATATTTTGCATCATGTGCACTATGGTCCCATCAAACTATACTTGAAGGCAACAGAATGCACATGCTTTGAAGTTTTCTTTAAATTTATTTCATATGCTGATTGTACAAGCCAATTTAAGGACCCTTTTGGTTCTCTTCAGGTATTATTAACTTCTCAGGAAATGTTGATTCTTTGGAGCCAGATTATTTTAGATGCTTCATAGTGTTCAATAACACAATAAAGCTACCCAGTGTTATGAGACTGAACTCCTTCCCCTCACAGGAAGGCCTTAAGTCCAGTACGGTGAGTAGCCAGAAGCTAGTCCCCTACTGGGCATCTTCCCAGAAGAATTATTATTATTATTATTTTTTTTTTTTTTTTGTCTTTTTCATTTTTATCGGTACCGGGGATCGAACTCACGACCACTTGCTTGCAAGGCAGGTGCTTATGCCGCTGAGCTAAATCCCCAGCCCCTTCCCAGAAGAATTAAAAACATTTTAGCCCAGTGATGTATACGCACATGTGTGTATAGCAGCACAATTTGTAACAGCTAAATTCTGAAAAAAACCCAAATGCCCATCGACCAAGGAATGTCTAAAAAAGACGTGGTATTTTGGTACAATGAAGAAGAACTCAGCCATAAAGAAAGATAAACGAGATTTTTGTAGATAAATGGATGCAACCTGAGAGCATACGTAAGTGAAATAATCACACCTACATGTGTAAACATCCTATTGTCTCCCTGGCATGAGAAATTGAAAGAGTAAATAAGGTCTAAAATGTATAAGGCCTTGTGAAATGGGAAGGAATTGCTTAAAAAGAAAAAGGAACTAAGATATGGAAAAGGGAGAAAAAACGCAAGTTTGTTATACTATGAGTGTCTCTTAGTTTATAGAGAAAGAAGGTTTGTGCTGATACTAACTGGAGAATTTTTATGCTTATATCTTGTACTCTGAGTAACTCCTTTAAAGATAATAATATAAAATATAATACTTATTGCTATTCTCCTATTATCTTGTTATGAAATTTTCTTTTACGTTTTTTTCATAAAATTTTAAAAAGTTAAGGATGGGGGGCTGGGGATTTAGCTCAGCGGTATAAGTGCCTGCCTTGCAAGCAGGTAGTTGTGAGTTCGATCTCTGGTACCAATAAAAATGAAAAAGACAAAAAAAAAAAAAAAAGTTAAGGATGGGAAGATGAGATTTTTCTAGGTCACCAGAGGGGACTCAATGTCACTACCAGACTCCTTATGAGGAAAGAGGGAGATGGGTGGGCCCAAGAAGGGAATGACAGTGAAAGCAGAGGTTGAGATGGTGCAATGGTGAGCTGGGCATCATGAGACCACAAAAAAATGTGAGCAGCGTCTACAAATTAGAAGAAGGATGAGGAAAAGGAGAAAGAGGAAGAAGAAAAAGAGAAGGAACAGGAAGACGAGGAGGAAGAGGAAAGGAGAAAGAGGAAGAAGAAGAGGAAGAAGAGAAAGAGAAGGAGGAGGAGCATCCCACTCCTGCTAACATCTTGATTATCATAGTACACATCTCAAATGTTTTGCCTCCAAAATTGCAAGATAATATATTTGTGTTGGCTTAAGCCACAAACTTAAGGTTATAAAAATTTGTTGTAGGAGCAACAAATTAATACAAATCCCCAGTAGTCTTGCTGTTTCCTTCTTCTGCCAAATCCTTCCCCCGTGTCTGTCATTGGCTCTTCTGCGTCACTCTATCCTCTAACCAGAAGAAAGGACTCCCATGATGATCATCAGCTCAGGCATCATGGAAGTGGATGTGGTCTTGGGAAGAGAGAAGAGCCTTGCAGTCTCTTCCCGCTCTTCATGGCTAACTTTAACCTCACAGTCCTTCAAGACCTGGCGCATCTTTTCTCCTTCAAACTCATCTGTTTCAAGGAGACCACTTCACCAGGTAACATCTGCATTACACATCTTGGTGCTCAACTAGACACTGCCTTGAAAATCCTGAAATTACGCTGTTAGATTCCAACCTGAAGTTTCCTTTTTTTTTTTAAAGGGAATAAAACAAAATAATAAAGTGGAACCAAACAAAACAGTGAGAACAATATTGAATTTCAAAAACAAGACAGAAAAAATTCCTAAAGTTGCTACATTACATGTTGTTATCCTCTAAATAGATGCTCAAACTACCAGGATGGGCCTGTAAAGTCAAACAACATAACATTCAGTTGTTTTTTACTGCAGTAGGTATCATCTCAGACTGTGTTCCTCAGAATCAGCTGCTTTCTCATGGGGTAGGGGAGATGCCGTGGCTCTTCTTGTCTCCCAGCCCAGGGGTCAGCTGGCTCACAGGAGATGCTTGACTTCTTGGTTCTCCACCCAGACCAGGACTCCTGAAATTTCTTAATGCAGAAACAGTACTACACTTTTAAAACTCATATTTGTATTTTTTACATTCTTATTCTCAAATATTTCAGTGAAGGTCCCCTAATGAAAAGCAGATACACATAGTCTGTTCCAAGAACCATTCTGCATGCTGGGGACACACCAACAGACAAAACAGATAAAAATATCTACCTTCAGAAAGCTTTCATTCTTGTAAATGTGTTTGGCAAGAGAGGGGAATCATAAAGGCAGAAAATGAATAAAATAAGCTAGTATATTTCATATGCTGCTTAGAGTTATAATTCTTGTGGAGAAAATACAGTGGGTAAAAGGGAGTATGATGTGCTGATGAGAGTGGGGGTGAGCTGCATTCGTAGAGAACATTGCCATGAGACATCACTGAGAAGATGTCATCTAGGCAGAAATATAAAGAAGATAAGAGACAACTCTAACTTCAGCCATGAGGGAATAACAGGATTTGCAAATACCTACCAGTCATAAACCTGTAGAAATCAGATAAAATAGGAAATAATTATTTTCAGATACTGAACAACAGGCATTTTGGACTATGATCTTTGAGAGAAGAGAAATGAATGTCTCATCATTACTCGGGCTTTCTGCCTGGTGACAATGCTCAGGTTGGGGTCCAGGGAAAATAACCTCAAATAGATATTGCAATCTTGCTAGGTTAAAAAGACAGAGATCAAAATTTAGGGACACTAGAATCTACAAGAATCTAGACTCTAGAAGCTAAATTCTACAGAATGGAGTCCCAAAGAGAAGAAATCTACGCAAAGAAATCATTTTGGGAATCTGCATAGAGATTCAGGCATCTGCACAGTGAGTCTCCTTGGTAGGAGGCTGACCTACTTTACACATGCATACTGTGAAATCTACAAAGCAAGACAACGCCAGGAAGAGGAAAAGAAAAAGCTATTAAGATTTTGCAAACAATTCTTCTCTCTCTCTTTCAAACAGCACCCCTTCCCCTCCTGGCTTCCATAAGAGAGGCAGATTTCTCCCCTTCTGCTGTGATGCCTAAAAATGGAGCCAGTCAACCACAAACTGATGCCTCTGAAAGTGTAACCAAAATAAACCTTTCTGTATTTATTTTTCTCAGGTATTACATACTTTAAATTTTTAAAAAAAAATAATTGACTGCTTAATGCAAAATAAATATAAAAAGTGTAAGGTGTACAATTTATATAAAGAAGTAAAAATATGACAATAGTAACTCAAAGGACAGAAAAGAGAAGTCCTGGATACAGTGGTCGATGGTTGTTTGCATACCCCTGTGTCTATGGTAATATGATATTATTTGAATAAGATAGATTATGATAAATTTAAGACAAATATTATAAACCCTAATGCAACCACTAAAAAAATATAAAACAAAGAAACCAATGAATCAGTATGTTGACGACTAAAAATGGAGAGAAAATGTTATAAAAATGTTTAATAAATTTTTAAAAACTGGGAAAAAAACCAAAAAAACAAAATTGAAGCAAAGAACAGATGGGACAAATATAAAAGAAACAGTAAAACATTAGGTTTAAATGCATAGATTTAAATCAATAACACATGAAATGCAAATGTTCTAAACATTGCAAATAAAGGAAGTAAAGGACTGAGCCATGAAGATATTTAAAGAAAGAACATCAGAGGGAGAAGGAACAGCAAGTACAAAGATTCCTGTGTGGAACAGATCGTCATGTTCAAGGAGCAGCACCAAAACCAGGTAGTTACTGAAGAGTGAGCAAGAGACGTGTGAAGGAAATAAGCCCACCAGCACTGCAGCATTGACCTTGACAGACAATACAAAGACTTTCTTTTCTCAGTGATCTAGAAAGCCGCTGGAACCGAACTGTCCAGTGTATTAGTGCAAAGCCACCTGCGTTAATAGACCTGTGCTCAACAGCTATGTGTGGCTAAGGCCATCCCATTGGGTAGACCAGACGGAGTGTTTTCATCACCACAGAAGGTTCTACTGGACTTCATTGGAAAACTTTGGAGAAGATCAATGGCATGTTGTATTTTAGCTACAATGTTGAAAATATGCTGCATGAGACAAGAATAAAAGGAATAACAGCGTGTTCCATGTTTAACCTGAAATTTTAAAAGTGAAGAGAGAC